GAAAAGAAGCCGGATGTTTTATTTTGTGTCTGTGCCCGACTTCCTTTCCAGCACGGGTTAATCTGTGCTGAATTTATCCGCCATGCTCCGGCGTCCAGAAAAAATAGAACTCTTGTGATCAGCTGAGGAGTCCGGCGATCCGCAGAGGAACGGAAAGAAGTCGGTGTAAATTGACACGTTAACTTGAATGGTTACGATCAGCTACGATCGGAGGATACGACCTTTTAGGAGACCATCAGGATGAAGGTGGAGGTCGGGGGTCAGACCTCCTCATAGATTTGTTATTGATTGAATCAAAGTTTGTAGATCTCAGATTTCAGGATCACAGCAACTCCAGACCTCTGAAGTCAGTCCGTTTCCATGACACCCGAGAAAAAACCGAATTATCGCCTTATTCCGATAAAGACCGGACAACTGAAGGTCACATAAACACTTTAGTCCGACTATAATCAGAGTTTAAAAACTCCCAGATAATGAGATTGGAATTCGATTTTCTCTACCATGTAACCAGCGTAGTCGGAGTATGAGGCCACGCCCCCTTTAACCCCGTAACAAACCCCCAGAGTAGAGGAGTAGCGTTGGTCTCCTCTTTAGAAAAAGTAGCGCGTCCATCATGTCGGACAAAAACAACGCTGTACGATGCTCCATCTTCTTGTTTCTCCAGCAGCAGTTGTAGACACTTCTGACGTCTGACACCGACCTGCTGTTGTTGTTGACGGTTGTCTGAAAAGACCCATATCGCCCCCTAGTGTCGGGGAGGAGGACACGTTCACGTCAATAATTCAGTTTTCTCAGCTGCATGTTTAGAAGAAGTCGATTAAACTGAGACTGTAAAGAACTGAGCTAACCTTCTGTGTTTGTGGTCACTTCCTGTCGTCTGCAGGCGTCTGGCGTGACAGTAAACGATGAGGTCATCAGGGTGTTCAACGACATGAAGGTGAGGAAGTCCTCGACCCAGGACGAGGTGAGGAAGAGGAAGAAGGCGGTTCTGTTCTGTCTGAGCGAAGACAGGAAGAAGATCATCGTGGAGGAGGGGAAGCAGATCCTGGTCGGCGACATCGGCGAGACGGTGGACGACCCCTACGCCTGCTTCGTGAAGCTCCTCCCCCTCAACGACTGCAGATACGGCCTGTACGACGCCACCTACGAGACCAAGGAGTCCAAGAAGGAGGACCTCGTCTTCGTGTTCTGGTACGGCACTGATCAGGTTATTGATCAGGGGGCTACGTTATTGATCAGGGACCAGCTTATTGATCAGGGGGATAGCTTATTGATCAGGGGACAGGTTATTGATCAGGGACCAGGTTATTGATCAGGGACCAGCTTATTGATCAGGGACCAGCTTATTGATCAGGGGCCAGGTTATTGATCAGGGACCAGGTTATTGATCAGGGGGATAGCTTATTGATCAGGGGCCAGGTTATTGATCAGGGGGATAGCTTATTGATCAGGGGGCTACGTTATTGATCAGGGACCAGGTTATTGATCAGGGACCAGGTTATTGATCAGGGGGATAGCTTATTGATCAGGGACCAGGTTATTGATCAGGGACCAGGTTATTGATCAGGGGGATAGCTTATTGATCAGAGATTGATCAGAGACCAGGTGGGGGTCGATATAAGGAACACTGCCTGATATAACACCCTGACCCGGTCTGACCCGGTCCGTCTTCAACATGAAGACCTCAGATCAGCTGACTGTAGACCTGGAGCCGTCAGAACTTCATGATAGTTTGAGGTGGACCTGTTGGACCGGGTCTAAAGTCCAGGTGATCCTCAGACCGGTTCAGAATCTCTGTAATGATCCAGTTAAACAGATCAGGACTAACAGAGTCTCAGGAGATCAATGACCTGACCTGTGGGTCACCTGACCTGCGTCACCTGACCTGTGGGTCACCTGACCTGCGGGTCACCTGACCTGTGGGTCACCTGACCTGCGGGTCACCTGACGTCCTCACGGTGTCTTCTGTCCTCAGGGCTCCAGAGACGGCTCCACTGAAGAGTAAGATGATCTACGCCAGCTCGAAAGATGCCATCAAAAAGAAGTTTACAGGTGAGTCATCTGCCGGGGTCAGAGGTCACACCTGAGGGTTTTGAGGGCTGTGATTGGTCAGTTTATGTCTACTGTAAACACGTCACCTGTCTGTGGAGCTCAGGTGTGACGGACAGGTGAGGTGAAGAGGAAACACGCTCAGGTGTGTTGTTGTTATGTTCAGGTGTGTGTGTCAGTTATACTCAGGTGTGTTGACCTGTGACCTCTCAGTGACCTCAGGTGTGCCCCTCCCCCCTCAGGTATCAAACACGAGTGGCAGGTGAACGGGCTGGACGACATCCAGGACCGCAGCACGCTGGCGGAGAAGCTGGGCGGGAACGTGGTGGTATCTCTGGAGGGCAAGCCGCTGTGATGTCACCGCGGCGCGTCGAGCGGAGCCAAGCCAACCGCCGTGCCATCCGGACCGAAGCACCTGACCCCACCTGAACACCGCCGCTTCACTCAGCAGCTTGCTCTGTCTGTCTCCATGTCCTGAAGGAGTTAGCGTCTTTAGGCCTCTTTGTTTTCTTTTTGTTTTTGTTTGTTTTGTTTTTTTTTTTTTTTCCAACATGAAGGAGATCTCATTAACATAATGATATGCAAACCCCTCCCACTTTGTTGCCACCTGACTTCTGTTCACCTGGCAGATCAAACACATGACGACACACTACCAAACCCCGGGAAGGTCGTCTCTCTCTCAGCCAGAGTTTTGCCAAAAAGTCCATGTGAAGGAAGCAGACACACGTGTGGGAGGCGAGCGCCACGCCACGCCGCGGAGCTCCGCCTCCTTCAGCACACGGGTCGCAGCATGAAGCTTTTTACATATGACTTTATTTATTCTTGTTCACTGTCGTTTCTTCTCCAGTTTGTTCAAACCAGGCAGACGTGTTGTTAGACTATGCATCGAGAGGAGGAGGAGGAGGAGGAGGAGGAGGAGGAGGAGGAGGAGAAGGTTAACCCGCACTTTTTGTTGAAACACTACAATGAGAACGAAAAACGTAAACGACCCCGACCACCATCACAAATTCAGCGTTCGTGTCTCCCCGCTAACCTTTGTTTACCTCATTTCCTGTCGGAGCGCCCTCACTCTAGCTGGTCGTCGCCTTACTTTCAGTTTGAATGTAACCGTCACACCGATTAGTTAGAGAAGACTTTTATTTTGTAAAGAAACACAACAGGAAGCAGATTAGCCCCGCCCCTGAGAGACGACCCCACAACAACAACAACAACAACAAGAACACGACGACGACGACGACAACGACATCTGGAGCCTTAAAGTGGAACGTTGTTTCTGAGATCACAGGAAGCCACTTTGCAATAAAAGCCTGTGGCAGACCTGACGAGTCCCGCCTCTTCTCTCAATCCACCAATCACAGAGCAGCAGGTCGACGGCCTGCTGCTCACCTTACAACCCGGACAACCGGTCTCAGTCACGGTGTTCTGGTCCTGTAACAGATTTTGGGTTGAAAGGTCCTCGGAGCTCAGAGTTCCTGCAGGACTTAAAACGGTCTCATCAGAACCAGGATGACCTCTTAGAGACCTGCTAGAACCCTGAGGAGAACCATCATTAGAACCATCATTAGAACCATCATTAGAACCATCATTAGAACCCTGAGTAGAACCCTGAGTGGACCTGGTTTGACCCGTTCAGATCCAGTCCGTCACATTCCTTAGATCTCCCAGTTGAACCCAAAGAACAGGTGAGTTCTGTAGAACCTCCCGGACCGTCTGTTTCCACTAAAGCTCTTTTGTTAGTGAGCTGGTTCTGAGTGATCCGGGTCGGGTAAAAACCTCTTATTTATTTATGATTTTAATTCAATTTTAAATATTTTTAAACAGAAACTGAAATAAAAGAGTTTGATCCGTTTGAGAGTGACCCGGTTTCAGAGGACTGAAGGTTTTCCTCTTCAGGGTATCAGGGTCAAAAAAGGACATGGGGGGCAGAGTTTGGACCTTTGACCACAGCCCTGACTTCCTGTCTTAGACCCAGACTTCCTGTCTTAGACCCGGACTTCCTGTCCTGAATGGATGAGGTTCTGAATTCCTGACCTTAAAAGGTTCTGGTCTGTTTCAGAGTCTGCAGGGCCGGGGGTCTGAGAGCAAGTCCAGCAGAGACCGGGACTGGGTCTGTGGTTCCTGGTGGGGGGGGGTCAGCTGTGGTTGTTTGTAGAATAAAGACGGAGGACCTGACCCCCCTTCCCCCAGAACCTGATCCTCCTGCTGCTATTTCTGGACCACATGCCTCAGAGTCCCGCCATCAGGTCCACAAAAGGAGACGGACCCGATGGAGGGTCCTGGGGGGGGGGACTGAACCCAGAACTTCAGACGACGACAGAGAGAAAAAAAAAATCAACAAAATTTAGAAAAAATTATTTTAAAAATATAAAAAAATAAGAAACAAAAACAGGAAGAAGTTTCTGATTTCAGAATAAAAGTCCATAAAGAATGAAGAATAAAGAATAAAGACTGCTGTTTAATAAATAAAAAAAAAGTCATAATAATGAAATAAATTAGTGATAATAATGAGGATTTTAATAAACGTTTAAAAATCTTAAATATGATTAAAAAAAAGTCATAAAATCTCAGAGTTTGAAGGTTTTTTTTAATCTCATCATTTTAATCTGAACATGTTTGTTTAATCTGTCATGTCGACCCAGTCTTACTCTTTGGTTCTGGTTCTGGTGATGCTGGACCTCCTTTCAGAACCAGAACCATCAGAACTCTCAGTGTGAAGGTCTCACCTGGACCAGACTGGTCTTTAGACTCAGCAGAGGAGATCCGGATCAGTCTGTGGATCCAGTCTCCTTCTGCTGTGACGTTACACACATAGATATAAAATACATAGATGCCTCACAGACTGACGCAGGTGGAGCTCCCGTATCAGCACAGCCACCATCTTGGATGGGTCCACCATGCTGCTACAGAGGAAGGAATCATAGAAATCGATAAGAAAGGCCTTTACATATGTATATGTATATATATATATATATATGTAAATATATATATATATATATACATATACATATATATATTTACATATATATATATGTAAATATATATATATATATATTTACATATATATATATGTAAATATATATATATATATATTTACATATATATATATGTAAATATATATATATATATATATACATATATATATATATATATATACATATATATATTTACATATATATATATATGTAAATATATATATATATATCTATATATATATATATATATGTAAATATATACACACACACATATGTTTATATATACATACAGTATGTATATATGGTAGGTCTGCCCGTCCATATGACTCAGAAGAACTCTCTGGATTTCTGCCTGATTTTTACACAGTTTAGTTTATTACAAACAGAGTTTGAGACGTAGCTTTAATACAAGATACTTTCACACGTTAAAAATAACTTAAAATTATTTTTTCAATCGTAATCCTGCGTGATCTGGTTTATTACTGCGTCGGTTCAGACACAGTTAGATTTTCTACGTCACAAACCCAAGCTCCGCCCCGACGCCCCGCTCTACAGGCGGACTCTAAGAAGTAAAGAGGACGATCAGAGAACAAGCGTGTTTGTTTGTTAGCGGGTTAAAATGATGGTAAGAAAGTTAATTATGATTTCAACTTTAATCACGTCCACAAAGACGTCAGTGTCCCTGAGCTAAAATAACCTGATGTTACCTGCTTCTTCTACGACATCGGTAATGTTCGGCTACCTGCTAACATGAAGAGGTGTGGTCAGAGCAGCGCTGACTCCGCCCACAACTCAGAGGTGAATTACTAATGAGCTGCTGGAGCTCTGCAGAAGAAAAGACCTTAATAATGACAAAGGAGACGAGATTTTGGCGAAAAACTTTATAATCATAATTAAAGACCACACACACACACAGTTATGATTGGGACTTAAATCAGATTTTTAATGAAATAATCTTTTATGAACTAAATTTTCAAAACAGTTTTTAAGAGGATATTTTTATTATTTTGGTTAAACCTGTTTAAGAAAAACCTTTAGAGAATTTTTTTAATTAACTACATTTTTTATGTTTTAAATAAACCAGTTTTAAATCAAATATGATTTTTTTAGTATAATATTGATCCTGTTTTAAATGAGATGTTTTTATTATGATTCTTATTTTAGCTAATCCACCTTTTAAAATTAAATCTCGTTTTTTTTCCTTTTGTTCTCAGTTTTTTCGTTTTTTGTCGTTTTTTTCTCGGTTTTTACCTTTTTCCGTATTTTTTACTTAATTTTCGTTCATTTTAATTTTTGTCGTTTTTTTTATATGTCTTTTTTTTCATTTTTGTCGTTTTTTGTCGTGTTTTTCCGTCTGTTTCCGCCTCTCTCTCTCCTCTGTTTTTATCCCGGAAATCCTCCTGCCGCCGTGACGTCACAGCTCTTCCGGTCTCCACCCGTTGTTCGCAGCCATGATGGTGAGTTTCTCTCTTTTCTCTCCTTTTCCCGTCCTCTCGGTTCGGTACCGGACTCCGGGGCTCCGCCGGGGTTCTGGGGTTTCCCCGGGGCCCCGGAGGTCCGTGTTCTGGTCCGTGTTTGCGGTGTTTCCGGTGGACTAACGGCTCTGTCTGTGTCCCCGCAGCAGGAAGGACTGGACGACGGACCCGACTTCCTCTCCGAGGAGGACCGGGGGGTGAGAGAGAGAGAGAGAGAGAGTGAGAGAGAGAGAGAGAGAGAGAGAGGCTGTGTGTTTACCTGAGAGACTGCTGCACACCTGTCCGTGTGTGTGTGTGTGTGTGTGTGTGTGTGTGTGTGTGTGTGTGTGTGTTGTCCAGCTGTTAGCATCAGCTGTGATAGCTAACATTAGCCTCATGCTAACGGGTTCAGGGTGAGTCCCGGTTCCGGTCCCGGTGGTTAAACCGGTCCTCCAGGTCTGGACCCGGACTCAGCTGCAGGCCGTTAGCTCCACAGGCTAACAGGGTTAGCATCAGAGAGAGGAGGTTCCGATTCTGAACGAGTGTGTGTGTGATTAATGTTCTGGACTGTCAGGCTGTCACATGACTGTCACACTCACACACACACACACTCACACTCTCACACACACACACACACACACACACACACATACACTCTGATGTTGTTGTAGTTCAGAGTAAATCAGACAGAGTGAGACCTCTCTGTTTCTCTGATAATCTCAGATTTAAACCTGAAGTCAAACTAAAAACACGTCAGAGCAGGTTAAAGGGGGAGGAGCCACAGAAAAACTCTTCTAATATCAGTCAATAGTTATTAGTTATTGATTATTTGGTAATATATCGATATCTCTGTGTTCTCTTCTGTCTGTGTCATCAACATTTGAACATTTTTGAGCGGTCCGCTCTTTCTGACTGTAAACAAAGCCGTTCTCCACCTCCTCTAACCTGATTGGTTGTGAGGCAGACGCTGCTCCCCCGTGTCGTTCAGGAGCCCAAACAAAGTTAGCGTGCTACAATATCGGACAGTAGAAACCAACCAGAAAGTTCGGAAAATTGTCTGAATCCTCCTTTGGCCACGACTGCCGACACAAGCAAGAAAACAAAGTAAATACCGGAGACTCTGGAGGAATAACGGGCGCTTAAAAATATCTGAATTTAACTGGAACGATACGAGCGAGCAGGAGCGTCTGTTTGTGGGCGGGGCTTAAGAGAGGGAGGGGAGGAGCTGAGGGGAAAACTGGTTGGAGGGGTAGATTTACATTCAAGGTTTCTCCTAAAAACTGGAACTAACTCAGATCCTGAACTACAACAGCTTTAACGGAGCCTGAGGAGGACAAACAAGAAAACCGTTTGTAGAGAAACTCTCTGAGGAAGTTTCTTCAAGAAGTCAAAGATGAAGAACAAAAACAGATCATGTTTTATTTCTCCACATGTTAAAACTCTTGGTGGTTCTGGTCCAGCTGCCTCTTAGGGGTCTGATTCTGGCCCCTCCAGACTGTCAGCTGCAGATGAGACGATCAGAGAGGTCCTGGTCATGTGGAGGTCACATGACCGTCAGGAGTCTGGTCTCTGTTGGAGGAGGGAGGACCACATGAGAAACTGTTGGACTTCACGGCTCAGATAAAAACAGGAACAGCTCAGCGTTTCACAGAACCGGGTCCTGAATGTTCTGTCAGACCGTGGAGACCAGTCTGAGGAGGATTCAGGTCCTCCTGAAGTCCTCCTGAAGTCCTCCTGAAGTCCTCCTGGTGTCAGAGGAAAACAGAAGAATAGAAAACGAAAGAAGAGAAACGATCCAAAGTCTCTAAATGAGAATTTAAAACAGACATCAGCTGATGGAGGACAGAGAGACAGAGAGGTCAGAGGTCAGGAGTGTGACTCTGAGACAGAGACAGGTTCGGTGTCTGTTCTTCAGTTGGAGTGGTGCATTCTGGGATATGTGGTTTCTGTGTTTCTTTCTTAGCCGAGGGCCGTGAATGTGGATCTGCAGACGGACGCCACTCTGCAGGTGGACATCTCTGACGCTCTGAGCGAGAGAGACAAGGTCAAGTTCACCGTCCACACCAAGGTGAGAGGGTGAGGGGGTGAGGGGGTGAGGGAGGGGGTGAGAGGGTGAGGGAGGGAGGGAGGGAGTGAGAGGGTGAGGGGGTGAGGGAGGGAGTGAGGGGGTGAGGGAGGGAGGGGGTGAGGGAGGGGGTGAGAGGGTGAGGGAGGGAGAGAGGGGGTGAGGGAGGGAGGGAGTGAGGGGGTGAGGGGGTGAGGGAGGGAGTGAGGGGGTGAGTGTATATGTGTGTGTCATGTCTGCATCCCTCGTGGCTCTTTACTAAGATCATCCGAACTCTCGTGTCTCGTTTTGTCTCGTTTCGTCTCATGTCCTTCTGGATCAGCTGATCCTGATTGGATGTTTTCGTCTCATTATACGATATCTCTCATATCTTCCCTCAGAGCCACGCCCCTTTCCTCCTGCTGACCTCCTCTTATTGGACGTGTTCTCCTCATGAACTCGTCTTTTTTTGTTTCCTGTCCTCCTTCCTCGTCTCCTCTCATCTCGTCCTGCCTAAACTCTCACTCTCTCCCTCGTCTCCTCTGTCCTTCTCTGGGACCTTCTCTCTTTAACCTGGAACAGTTGAAGCCCCTCCCCCCGCTGACCTGATGATGCACTTCCTGTCTCCACAGAGCACGCTCCCTAACTTTAAGCAGAACGAGTTCTCGGTGGTCCGACAGCATGAAGAGTTCATCTGGCTGCACGACTCCTTCGTGGAGAACGAAGAATACGCCGGATACATCGTAAGAACACGAAAAAAACACACAAAGACACACTCTGACTTTACCTGGGCGTCTGTTCACTAATTAGAAACTGTTGTCATGGCGACGCAGATCCCCCCCGCCCCCCCTCGACCAGACTTTGATGCGTCCAGAGAGAAGCTGCAAAAACTCGGAGAAGGAGAGGGGTCCATGACCAAGGAGGAGTTCACCAAGATGAAGCAGGAGCTGGAGGCGTGAGTCACTCACCTGAGCCCCGCCCACAACACACCTGAGAACCGCCCACAACACACCTGAGCCCCGCCCACAACACACCCGAGCCCCGCCCACAACACACCTGAGCCCCGCCCACAACACACCTGAGCCCTGCCCACAACACACACCTGAGCCCCGCCCACAACACACCTGAGCCCCGCCCACAACACACCCGAGCCCCGCCCACAATACACACCTGCGCCCCGCCCATTACACACACATGAGCCCCGCCCATAACATGCCTGAGAGCCCGCCTACAAAACAACTGAGCCCCTCATAACACACCTGAGCCCCGCCCACAACACACCTGAGCCCCGCCCACAACACACCTGAGCCCCGCCCACAACACACCTGAGCCCCGCCCACAATACACACCTGAGCCCCGCCCATAACATGCCTGAGAGCCCGCCCACAACACAACTGAGCCCCTCATAACACACCTGAGCCCCGCCCACAATACACCTGAGCCCCGCCCACAACACACCCGAGCCCCGCCCACAATACACACCTGAGCCCCTCAGAGTACACCTTAGTCCTGCCTATAACACACCTGAACTCGGCACAGCACACCTGTGGGAGGGCCACACCTGTGGGAGGGACACACCTGAGCCCCTCCCACAGGTGTGCCCCTCCCACAGGTGTGCCCCTCTCACCTGTGGTCTGTCTCTCCCCTCAGAGAGTACCTCGCCATCTTTAAGAAGACCGTGGCGATGCATGAGGTCTTCTTGTGTCGCGTCGCCGCTCACCCCGTCCTCAGGAAAGACCTGAACTTCCACGTCTTCCTGGAGTATAACCAGGACGTAAGTGTCCGCCCACTCACCTGTCCTGTTTACATCAGCGTTACCTGTCCATGCTGACTCAGGGCTTCTGTCTGTGACCTTTGACCTCTCTCCTGCACAGCTGAGCGTTCGAGGGAAGAACAAGAAGGAGAAGTTGGAGGATTTCTTTAAGAACGTGGTCAAGTCGGCCGACGGCGTCCTGGTGGCCGGAGTCAAGGTGACGAAAACGTCTACATCTTCTTCGTTTCTTCTTCTTCTTCTTCTGCCGTCTCTGATCCTGTTTCCTGTTTCCTGTTTGTCGTGGTCGTGTTTTTCAGGACGTGGACGATTTCTTCGAACACGAGAAAACGTTTCTGTTAGAGTATCACAACCGAGTCAAAGACGCCTCCGCCAAGTCCGACCGGATGATCCGCTCACACAAAAGTAAGAAAACCACCAGGTGAGAAGGTCGCTGTGACACAGGTGCATCATGGGACCTGAATCAAACCTGTGTCTGTGTGTGTGTGTGTGTGCGTGCGTGCGCGTTCAGACGCTGCAGACGACATCAACAGAATCGCCTCGTCTCTCTACACGTTAGGAACGCAGGACTCCACTGACCTCTGCAAGTAAGAACTCCTTCACCCTTTCACTTCCTCCACACTTTGATGACATCACTTCCTGCTGTTGATCTACTTCCTGTGTGTGCTGTTGCAGGTTCTTCCTGAAGGTCTCGGAGCTGTTTGAGAAGACGAGGGTACGTATGTTTGTCTCAGGACGTCTCTGAAGTCTCTGTGAGGACTCAGAAGAGCAGCTGAACTTTTCTCTTTGTGTTCCTGCAGAAGATCGAAGCTCGAGTCGCAGCGGATGAAGACCTGAAGCTCGCCGACCTGCTCAAATATTACCTGAGAGAGTCACAAGCTGCAAAGGTCTGATTTCCCACGGTCACTGAAAGCATCACGGCTCATCAGAGCTCAGATTCACTCATTCACCTCCTGACCTCTGGATCAGTGTCCCTCTGTCTGTCTCTGTAGATCATCTCCAAACTCTTCCACCAATCAAAGAGCAGGGAGTCTAACCAATCAGCTGTCTGAACACTGAGATCAGCTGATCAAATCAATCAGGGCTACTGTGCTGCTGATTGGTGGAAGAAAATCCTGCAGCGACACCGACTCTGAGTGGAAGAGTTTGGAGATGTCTGCTGTAGAACGTACGGTCTAACACTATTACATACTAACACATACAGAACACAAACAAGTACATACTAACACATACACAACACAAACAAGTACATACTAACACATACACAACACAAACAAGTATATACTAACACACAAAGAACACACTAGTACATACTAACACATACACAACACAAACAAGTACATACTAACACATACACAACACAAACAAGTACATACTAACACATACACAACACAAACAAGTATATACTAACACACAAAGAACACACTAGTACATACTAACACATACACAACACAAACAAGTACATACTAACACACTAAGAACACACACTAGTACATACTAACACATACACAACACAAACAAGTACATACTAACACACAAAGAACACACTAGTACACTAACACACTAAGAACACACACTAGTACATACTAACACATACACAACACAAACAAGTACAGTCTAAAACTAGTACATACTAACACATACACAACACAAACAAGTACATACTAACACACTAAGAACACACTAGTACATACTAACACACTAAGAACACACTAGTACATACTAACACATACACAACACAAACAAGTACATACTAACACACAGAGAACACACACTAGTACATACTAACACAAAGAACACACACTAGTACATACTAACACACTAAGAACAAACACTAGTACATACTAACACATAAAGAACACACACTAGTACATACTAACACACTAAAGAACACACACTAGTACATACTAACACACTAAGAACACACACTAGTACATACTAACACATAAAGAACACACACTAGTACATACTAACACACTAAGAACACACACTAGTACATACTAACACACTAAGAACACACACTAGTACATACTAACACACTAAGAACACACACTAGTACATACTAACACACTAAGAACACACACTAGTACATACTAACACACTAAGAACACACTAGTACACTAACACATACACAACACAAACAAGTACATACTAACACACAAAGAACACACACAAGTACATACTAACACACAAAGAACACACACTAGTACACTAACACACTAAGAACACACAAGTACATACTAACACATAAAGAACTCACACTAGTACATACTAACACACAGAGAACACACTAGTACACTAACACATACACAACACAAACAAGTACATACTAACACACAAAGAACACACTAGTACATTCTAAGTATTCATTTATAGGGTGTCAGTTTTTCTCGTCGTTCTGACCCACTCTCTCTCTCTCTCTCCCTCTCTCTCTCTCTCTCGCTCTCTCTCTCTCACCCGATGAATTTCTGTCGTTGTGCGGATCAGAAGTTTGTGTTAGTGGGTCACTGAGATTGCCCCCCCCAGTAAACAGAGTTCTGGTTCTGAGGATGGTTCTGGTCCGGGTCGGTTACTGTGATCTGACTGACACACAGACAGTGGAGAAGGTCATTTCATCCTGTACAGTCTAGATGTTGTGTCGTGGCATCTATGTTATATTGTCTATGTTTAACCCTCACCTCTCTCACATATTGATCAGTTATTTCCCATCGATTTCCTCTGATCATTCTGACCCGGTCAGAGTCGTTACCAGGAGAAGAGGTGAGGTTTGTTGTCCATCTCTGCGTCAGGAGAACATCTTTAGGTCGATGGTTCATGTTTCTTTAGAGGGTCAGAATCAGGATGTAAGATCTTTGTGGAGTGGGTTTCAACATCTCCTGGATCTCCAAACATCCTCTGAATGTAGAAGGAGGACCTCCAGACGCTCAGCTGGAGACCTGCAGGTCTGAGAACCAGGGAGCTCCTGTCAGTCCAAAGGGAACTAAAGATCTAGTCCCTCTCAGACAGACCCTTGAGGAGGTCTAGTTCTTCTCTTACAGTCCTGATCTGATCTGTGATGTTCTGACCCGTTTAGGACCTGCTGTACCGGAGGAGCCGGGCTCTGGTGGACTACGAGAACGCCAACAAAGCTCTGGACAAAGCCCGGGCCAAGAACCGAGACGTCCTTCAGGCCGAGACCAGCCAACAGCTGTGCTGCCACAAGTTCGAGAAGATCTCCGAGTCCGCCAAGCAAGGTCAGCGACCGGGTCACACCTGAAGACCTGTGTGTCTGTGTGTGTGTCTGTGTGTGTGTGTGTGTGTGTCTGTGTCTGTGTGTCACACTCACAGCTCCTCTCTTCTCTCTCAGAACTCATCGACTTCAAAACGAGACGAGTCGCTGCGTTCAGGAAGAACCTGGTGGAACTCGCCGAGTTGGAGCTCAAACACGCCAAGGTAACGAATCTGAGCACAACACCGTCTGCTGCTCTGAGACGACCAACCCAATCACATCTGACTCCGCCCCCTCTCTAATAACCAGTATCTGACTCCGCCCCCTTTAAAAAAAGACCAGTATCTGACTCCGCCCCCTTTCTAATAACCAGTATCTGACTCCGCCCCCTTTCTAATAACCAGTATCTGACTCCGCCCCCTCTCTAATAACCGTTGTCTGACTCCGCCCCCTCTTTCTGATAACCAGTATCTGACTCCGCCCCCTTTCTAATAACCAGTGTCTGACTCCGCCCCTCTTCCTGCAGGGAAACCTTCAGCTGCTGCAGAGCTGTCTCGGCGTCCTGAAAGGAAACACTTAACCGTGAAGCTCCTCCTTCATCAAAACCAGACACGCCCCTTCGCTACAGCCCCGCCCCTGAAACTGGACACACCCACTGAGGGGCGGAGCCCAGGCGGACGGACGATCAACACTGAGAACTATGGACCAGAGAGAGAGAGAGAGAGAGAGAGATCAGTGGGTTAAAGAGACAGGAAGTCTTCATCATCAGTCAGCAGACGCCGTCCTCTTCATCTTACTCTTCCTTCCTTCCTTCCTTCCTTTCTTTCCTCCTTTCCTGTCTCCTTCTCTCTCACTCAGCAGAACCTTTCAGGTTCTGGTTCTGACCTGTTCAAGTTCTGCTGAGTGACGCTCTCATTAACTCCTTCATCATCTTTGTCATCAGAACCTCAGAGCAGTTTGAGTTTGGACCTGCAGGAGGCGCTCCTGACCCGTTCACTGACCCGTTCACTGACCCGTTCACTGACCCGTTTACTGACCCGTTAAAAACCTGAGACAGTCAGGTGACCTCAGTCAGTCCAGTCATGGGGGTCTGTTGGTCAGACTGAGACCAGAGAAACCCGAAGAGCTGAGTCTGAGCAGAACCTCAACAAGTGAAGCTCATCAGAACCAGAACCAGAACCAAACACACTAATCTACATCAACACAGAGACCAGAACTCCTCAGAGTCTTTCAGGAGCTCCAATCAGACCAGAACCACTGAATCAGGGTCAGAACTCTGAAGAGAACCGACCCGCATAGTTTCCTGAATCCAGACTTAGTTCTGGACCTGACCCGCTTTATGATCCAGATTAAGAGGTCCACTTTGGTTTAGAGGGTTCTACTGAGGCCGTCTATCTGGACCTGTCCAGTACCAGTGACAAAGACCGGTTCAGTGTGGAGACTAGGAACTGGACAGGGAGTCCAGAACCAGTTCAAAAGTTCTGCTGTCCCCCCTGAAGTCAGGAGGATTTCACACCTGTTTAAGGACCCGGACTCTGACCTGGACTCTGACCCGGACTCTGACCCCGACTCTGACCCGGACCCGGACTCTGACCCAGACTCTGACCCGGTCTCTGATACTCTGAGGGTTCTAGAGTCCAGCAGGATCAGTCCGGTCCAGTTTTCACTCTTTCATTTCTGTTTCTTTCTCCTCTTCTGTCTGCGCTCTTATTTTGGCGGTCTGTGTGTGTGTGTGTGTCTGTGTGTGTGTGTGTGTGTGTGTGTGGTGAACTTCCTGTTGTGTGACGGCGTTGAGAGTCCGGTTCTGGTTCCGTTCTTAGACGGTGTAAAGTCACTAAATAAAGACGAGTTTATCTTTGTAATAGTTAACGAATCAACACTAATCGTCATCCTCCTCCTCCTCCTCCTCCTCCTCCTCCTCCCTCTCCTCCTCCTCCTCCTCACTAACAGCAGCCCGTGCTCCTCTTTCCTCCTCCTCCTCCTCCTCCTCTCTCCTCCTCCTCCTCCTCACTAACAGTAGCCCGTGCTCCTCTCTCCTCCTCCTCCTCCTCCTGCTCCTCCTCCTCTCCTCCTCCTCTCCTCTCCTCCTCCTCCTCCTCCCTCTCCTCCTCCCTCTCCTCCTCCTCCTCCTCCTCCTCTCCTCTCTCCTCCTCCTCCTCCTCGTCTCAGCGGTTGTTGACGGTGGACTTTCGTCTGTTTGCCTTAAACGTCGATCAGTCGCTCCGTTGTTCGATTTCCTGTAAAGAAATTAAATTGTGTCCTTCTCCTCCTCTTTCTCCTCTTTCTCCTCCTTCTCCTCCTCTTTCTCCTCTTTCTCCTCCTCCTGCTCCTCCTCCTCCTCCTCCTCCTTTTTTAAAGTTCACTGTATACGAATGTTTTTTCACTCTTATGTGACCAAAGCTTCCATTTCTGATTCAACAAAAAGAGAAAATCAAAGTGAAGAAGAAAATAAAGACGGTCTGTAATCCACCTGGTCAAACTGAGACTGAATAAAACTTTACGGACACTTTTCTTAAACTCCTCCGACTCTCACTTTACTGAAGGGGGGGGGGGGTTCTGATTGGACCGGGTCACACTGAGACCTCCGAGTTTAGGAGTCCTGATGGAGCAGCAGACTTCAGTCCTTCAGCAGACAGAGAACAGGGACCTGAAGATCTGGGTCTGTCCTGAGGTCAGCTTCTTTATTCAATAATGATCAATAATAAACTCTGATCGACGGTTTAATAAAACTTTTATAGATGGTTTAGTTCGACTCTGTCAGTGTTCGCCCTCCTCTGTTAGGGTCACTACGGCAGACTAACCGCCGAGCCGACTGCTGCTGCTGTCAGAAGTGTTTGAGAATAACCGTCTCTGCACTTTTTCAGGCTCCTGGGATCAGATCGATTTTTTAAACTGAGTAACTAAACAGACGGTTTACTTCATCACACAGCGCACGAGTTTAGAGGGTGCAGTGTTGTCCCAAATCACAGACTGCTGCGGTGCACTCACTGGAAATGATGAAAGAAATAAAGTATTTACATATAAAACAATTTAGAACAAGAAAACTAAAGAGGACTGATTTACATATTAAACACTTGAAACTCGGTAACTACAGATGAACTTTTTACAAATGAAGCTTTTAAAACTAGTTTTAAAACTATTTACAAAAAATACTTTTTAAATACATTTTATATAAATATAATATATAAAGTAAACTTATCACTTACATCTCGTACTCAATGTTCACATACTATCCATACTTGTTTTTTCATTTTGAGTTGAGTATACTCAAAATTATTTAGTGTGGAGGTATGAGATTTATGACACACCTTTAAAGAGTTTTCAGCTGACTAGAACACTTTAATTTGGCGCCAACTTCAATAATAATAATTAATATATATAATTAATTATTATTTAATGTCATTGATCTTTTTTCATCGACGTTAAAAATCCAAACATGATGGATGACCTGTGTCCTCACTCTACTGACCTGACACTGTCCAACAGGAGGCGCTCACTCGCTCACTCAGCCGCTGTGTGTGAGAAAAAAACAGACGAAGAAGAAAAGCCGCTGACAATGTGACGCAGCGCATGCGCAGCAGTGAGTTTGATCCTCTCCACAGACAGTTAAAATGAGCTCCATCGGGACCGGGGTGAGTGTTTATATCTGTGTTTGTCTGAGTTTATAAATCCTCTTGAACTTTACTCTCAGTATTAATGTGTCAAACTTTAACTATATTCACTGAAAATATTCAAACTTTGGTCTTAAATTTCTCTCACTCTGAGCCTTTAGTCTGTTAGCTCAGGGTTAGCCTGCTGAGTCACAGCGAGGCCCGCGAACTGAAAATGAAAGTTAATTATTAAATGTTAATTAAAGTTTAATTTGTTCTGGTTTAAAAGAGGTAAACGAACCAGAAACAAAACTATAAGAAAAGTCAGCTCTGCAGTGTTTTTGTCTGTGTTTATAAAAGATAACGCTGTGTGAGCAGAATCAATGCTAACAGCTAACTGTGATTCAGAACCAAACCCCATTTAAAAAAACCCAAAATGAAGCTGCTCTCAGTGTCAGCTCTAATATAACAGAAGAAATAAAACAAATTTACACTTTAATTAAACAGTAGAAGGAGGTGATCTGATCGGCTCTCATGTGGTCTTTAAAAAAGGACCTTTTCTTATGAAAAAGAACAAAAACATGTTTATTTTCTTCAGTGTCAGGAAGTCTGTGTGAACGGATCAGATCAGAGTCCGGGATTAAAAACAGGTCTGAGGTTTTAAAGAGAACTGGAGGAAACAGGAGAATCAAACTGAAGCTCAGTCACAGGGTTGAAGGTCCGAGTTTCATCTCAGCAGGTTCAGTGGACCAACCAGAGAAAATCAACACTGAGCTCCACCTCCACCTGCACCTCCACCTGCACAGGTGTTCAGCTGTCAAGACTGAAGAGAGTTCAGATTTAAGAGTCACTGTTAACCTGTGTGTGTGTGTGTGTGTGTGTGTGTGTGTGTGTGTGTGTGTGTCCTGCAGTATGATTTGTCGGCCTCCACCTTCTCTCCTGATGGGCGGGTCTTTCAGGTGGAGTACGCCATGAAGGCCGTGGAGAACAGCAGGTCAGCAGATACTGATCCAAGAACAGAGACTGGAACCATCTGAGTCTGACGATCACTGAACTGTGTGTGTGTGTGTGTGTGTGTGTGTGTGTGTGTGTGTGTGTGTGTGTGTGCAGCACAGCCATTGCGATCCGCTGTAAGGACGGCGTTGTGTTCGGCGTGGAGAAGCTGGTTCTGTCCAAACTGTACGAGGAGGGGTCCAACAAACGCATCTTCAACATCGACAGACACGTTGGCATGGTAACCACACACACACACACATGTAGACAGTAACCTAGCAACAGTCTGAGCGTCAGTGACCATCGTGGAGGTCAGTCCAGCCCGGTGGTCCGTCCTCTCGTTAGATCATCTCCAGACTCTTCCACAGAGGGGGGCGTGGCTACAGGTACGTCTTCCAACCAATCAGCAGCAGCACACAGTCCGACCAATCAGCTGTCTGCAGACTGAGATCAGCTGATCAAATCAATCAAGTCTGCTGTGCTGCTGATTGGTTAGAAGAACCTGCAGGTACACCGACCCTCTGTGGAGGACTGGAGATGTCTGATCTAAAGAGGGTCAGGTGTAGACCCCTCAGTCCACCTTAAACGGACTCAGGTCCAGAGGAGTCTCTGCTGGTTCTGGATCCTGGTTCTGTCTGAACCTCATCAGGAGACGCAGAGATGATCTGAGTTTTTGAAGTGACTCTGAGTTCATGTGGTCCAGAGTCCTGAAGATCAGGACCATCCAGTCTTGGTCCTGGTCCCGTTAGTACAGAGATGTTCTGATGAAACTGTTGAACTGTTTGCTCACGCGGTCTCTCACAGAGTCCTGAACCTCTGAGAGACTCCGCCTCTCTAAACGTCTCAGACCCGGTCATGTGACCCGGTCGTGTGACGAACCTGTTGGACCTCCATGTTGGTTGTAGAAGTTCCTGCAGATGTTTGTTTGTCATCAGAACCTCTGACCCGTTTGGACCCGTTCGGTTCTTCTTCTTCTCTCAGAGGAACTTTTTCATTTCTCCTCTTTTCCGTCATCAACACTCAGAACCAGAACCAGAACTCTGGTGTCTCCATGTTTGTCCTGCTCACTCTGACCCCGCCCCCTCGCTCTCTCTCTCCAGGCTGTAGCAGGTCTGTTAGCTGACGCTCGCTCGCTCGCTGATGTCGCCAGAGAAGAGGCGTCCAGCTTCAGGTCGAACTACGGACACGACATTCCCCTCAAGGTGGGTCTGAGGGTCCTGTGAGGTCACGGCGGACGGCGGTCTGAGATTGACGCTAAGCTAATTCTACTTCCTGTCGTTGCAGCACCTGTCAGACAGAGTGGCCATGTACGTCCACGCCTACACGCTGTACAGCGCCGTACGACCGTTTGGCTGCAGGTGAGTCTGAACTTCCTGTTGATGTCATCATCAGCTGATCAGGAGGGATGATGAAGACCAGGAAGGTTTCGCTCACTGCACTGAGTCGCTGTGATGTCACTTCCTCTTGGCTGTCTGACCACACACACACACACACACACACACACACACAGTGAGGTTCTGATTCTGTAGAACAGGAAGTGAGGTCGTTCTCTCTGTCGTCTCTCCTCAGTTTCATCCTGGGTTCTTTCGATAAAGATGACGGTCCTCAGCTCTACATGGTCGACCCGTCAGGGATCTCCTACGTGAGTCACACACACACACACACACACACACACACCTGCGTCCCCTCCTGTCCTCATTTGTCTCCGTTGATCCGTCCTCTTGTGTTGGAGGGTTTTAAAGCTCCTCTCTCAGTCGATCCTGTCCTCCTGGACTCTGACGGTCCTGGTGGTCCTCACTTTGGACTGAGCAGGTTCAATCAGGACCTGAAGACCGGACTGAGGGGGGGGCAGAGAGATCCCTGATCTGGTCCTGAGATTAGGATCATGGAGCGGTCCAATAACTCTCTGTAGTAAAAACAGACGTGTGTGAATTATAAACTGTATTTAGGGTCACATGTCACATAAACACGGCAGTGAAGTTAGTTTCAGGTTGGATATATTTTCCTGTAAATACGGTGGTGAAGTTAGTTTCAGGTTGGATATATTTTCCTGTAAATACGGCGGTGAAGTTAGTTTCAGGTTGGATATATTTTCCTGTAAATACGGCGGTGAAGTTAGTTTCAGGTTGGATATATTTTCCTGTAAATACGACGGTGAAGTTAGTTTCAGGTTGGATATATTTTCCTGTAAATACAGCGGTGAAGTTAGTTTCAGGTTGGATATATTTTCTGTAAATACGGCGGTGAAGTTAGTTTCAGGTTGGATATATTTTCCTGTAAATACGGTGGTGAAGTTAGTTTCAGGTTGGATATATTTTCCTGTAAATACGGCGGTGAAGTTAGTTTCAGGTTGGATATATTTTCCTGTAAATACGGCGGTGAAGTTAGTTTCAGGTTGGATATATTTTCCTGTAAATACGACGGTGAAGTTAGTTTCAGGTTGGATATATTTTCCTGTAAATACAGCGGTGAAGTTAGTTTCAGGTTGGATATATTTTCTGTAAATACGGCGGTGAAGTTAGTTTCAGGTTGGATATATTCTCCTGTAAATACAGCGGTGAAGTTAGTTTTAGGTTGGATATATTTTCTGTAAATACGGCGGTGAAGTTAGTTTCAGGTTGGATATATTCTCCTGTAAATACGGCGGTGAAGTTAGTTTCAGGTTGGATATATTTTCCTGTAAATACGGCGGTGAAGTTAGTTTTAGGTTGGATATATTTTCCTGTAAATACGGCGGTGAAGTTAGTTTCAGGTTGGATATATTTTCCTGTAAATATGACGGTGAAGTTAGTTTCAGGTTGGATATATTTTCCTGTAAATACGGCGGTGAAGTTAGTTTCAGGTTGGATATATTTTCCTGTAAATACGGCGGTGAAGTTAGTTTCAGGTTGGATATATTTTCCTGTAAATACGGCGGTGAAGTTAGTTTCAGGTTGGATATATTTTCCTGTAAATATGACGGTGAAGTTAGTTTCAGGTTGGATATATTTTCCTGTAAATACGGCGGTGAAGTTAGTTTCAGGTTGGATATATTTTCCTGTAAATACGGCGGTGAAGTTAGTTTCAGGTTGGATATATTTTCCTGTAAATACGGCGGTGAAGTTAGTTTCAGGTTGGATATATTTTCCTGTAAATACGGCGGTGAAGTTAGTTTCAGGTTGGATATATTTTCCTGTAAATACGGCGGTGAAGTTAGTTTCAGGTTGGATATATTTTCCTGTAAATACGGCGGTGAAGTTAGTTTCAGGTTGGATATCTGACGGACATTCTCTGAGGATCTACCGGTGTCTTCTCACTCTCCATAACCAGGAATAACAACAGCAGCGCGGTTAAATCTACTCGACACCCTCACTGTCAACGTCAGTGTTGAATAAGGGACCGTCAATAAATTACCGGTTGATGTTCTCAGAAAAGGCTGTTTTCCTTCAATAGCTTCACTGTCATGTGACCAAAAGACCTAAAATTGATTTCTAATAATAGTACTAAGGTCGATCAATAAGACAAACATTATTGATCAGTTTTCATTGATCCCCTGAAGTTCTTTGTGCTCCTTACTTTTTTAACTCAGGAGAACAGAGTTAGAGTCGAACCCTGAGACAGATGAGGTTCAACCCAGAATCTCCTGCAGGAGGACAACAGGCGTGTCCTCAGAGTCAGCAGAGTCCTCCTGGTTCCTCCTGGTTCCTCATGTCTCTAAGTGTGGTGATAGTTTCTCTAGACCTGATCCTCTTCAGGTCCCCTCCTGAAACCAGGACCAGAGTCCGCCCCCCTTCGACCCTCTTTGTTTATTAGAACTCAGTCTGACATAGTTCTGGTCTGAACCTCCATGTGGACCTCATCAGTACCCCCCACTCCAGTCCTCCTCCTCTGTACTCCTGCTGTGACTGTGTGTGTGTGTCCCAGTAATCCCAGTCTGTTTGTGTTCAGGGTTACTGGGGCTGTGCCATCGGGAAAGCCAAACAAGCTGCAAAGACGGAGATCGAGAAGCTGCAGGTGAGTCTGACCTCTGACCTCTTAACTCTGTGTTCTGATTGGTTTAAAGAGCTTTAAGACACTTCTGACCTCTGACCTGTGTGTGTGTGTGTGTGTGTTCAGATGAAGGAGATGACGTGCAGGGAGCTGGTCAAAGAGGTCGCCAAAATGTAAGTGAACAACATTCACGGGGGGGGGGGGCTGAGCTCAGGTCCAGATGAAGTGAAGACAAGTCCTCACTGTCCTCTCTGTCCTCACCGTCCCCTCTGTCTCCTCTGTCTCCTCTGTCCTCTCTGTCCCCTCTGTCCTCTCTGTCTCCTCTGTCCTCTCTGTCCTCACTGTCTCCTCTGTCCTCTCTGTCTCCTCTGTCTCCTCTGTCCTCAGAATCTACATCGTCCACGACGAGGTGAAGGACAAAGCCTTTGAGCTGGAGCTCAGCTGGGTCGGAGAAGGTCAGTGTGTCTGTCTGTGTGTGTGTCTGTGTGTGTGTCTGTGTCTGTCTGTGTCTGTGTCTGTCTTTGTGTGTCTGTGTCTGTCTGTGTGTGTCTGTGTCTGTCTGTGTCTGTGTGTGTCTGTGTCTGATTCTCACGGAGGTGTTTGGCGTTTAGGAAGCCCGTGGAGACCCCTCAGGTAAACAGGTTAAAATGTTTAACAAACAGAAATCCTGATGAAACTTCCAGAGTTTAAAACATGAAGACGAATGTTTTTAAAGTTCAGTCAGCTGTTTGAATCTGTAAATGAGGTCATATATCTCATTAAATCTGCACTGAAAACTGACCGACAGATAAAGAACCTTTAAAATTCTTGTTTTATTTGGTTATTTATCTCCATGTGAGTCTGTCTGCGGGTCACTAACTGGACCGATCATCACTCATTAATATGTTCATTAGAATATCACATGATCCAAACATGGATCAGGCGCAGGTGTTCCTGACCGACAACAGAGTCAGGATCATTTTAGGGTCCTGAACAAACACATGGAGGTATTTTAGGGCTGGTTTCAGTTTTTCCTCATTTACAGGTAAAAACAGAGAAACTAAGCCCCGCCCCCTTCTGACTCTAGTCTGTCAACAAAATAAAACAACATCTGACTCAACTTGTAAAAATATTTAATGTCAGTTATAAACTCTGGAAGTTTCATGGTGATATCTTTACCTGGGGGGTCTCCTACCATCATGGACGCCATCTTGAAAATGACGCCTTTCTCGTGGTCAAACTTTGGTCAACTGTGAGTTTGTTATTAAGGACGTCTAAAAAACAGCTGAGGAACCTTTGGTAGAATTATTTTAGGGTCATATTTGTACCGACTATTATCCTCACATTCAGGGTTCATGTGTCTCCAAATCACGTCATCAATAATATTGATTATCAACGTTAATCTGTGGGACAAAACCACATGAGTTCTGGTCCAGACCTGCTGTGGACCCGGGTCTGACCAGCAGGGAGGGGTGATGAAAGTCAGGAAGGTTTCGCTCATTGGACTGAACTCCAGTGATGTCACTTCCTCTTGGCTGACACACACACACACGAACACACACACACACACAGACAGGTGTGTTTTCTGTGATGATCAGAGCAGACTCAAACTTGAACAGGTGAAACTTCGTCCTCTCCCTCTCTCTCTCTCTCTCTCTCTCTCTCTCTGAACACGTCCTGATGATGATGATGATGATGATGATGATGGTTTTGTTGCCATGGAGACACTCCTGAATCTCTCCTCTGGTCTGTCTCCTCTCCTCAGTCACAAACGGACGACACGAGCTCGTACCCAAAGACGTCAGAGAGGAAGCTGAGAAATACGCCAAGGTGAGACATGCGCACACACACATGCACACACACACACACACACACACATGCACGTGCACAGTCAGCTGATGTCCTCCCTCTGTGTGTGTGTGTTTCAGGACTCTCTGGAGGAGGAGGATGACTCTGATGAAGATAACATGTAAAGGCAGCACTGGACCCCCTCCTCCTCCACCTCGGACCCTTTTTTATGTTTTCTAGTTCTCCTTCATTCTTCTGGTTGTTTTTTTTTCTTTTGGTTTGATGAATTTCAGCTTTTTTGAAAATAAAAAAGTTGAGGAAAGTTTGTTTTTCTCTCTGATTTTTACCTGTAAATAAAAAACTCTGTTTAGTTATTTTACACTTTTACTCTCAGTCTGTGCAGTTCAGAAACATGACATGACAATTCTGTGAACACAGACGTCACACAAACACTTTAAAACAGATAACAACATGAACATGAACACTGATTTCATGAAGTGAGACTATTTCAAATACATCTTTGATCTTTTTGTGTTTCTGATCTTTTTTTCTTTTAAATGTTTTTGATTTTTTAAAACACTCACATGACATGAAAGATGTTTGAGTTCCACCATTTGTTTGTGGGTCATGAAAAGTCTTAGTCCAGAGAATGACCTCTGACCTCTGTTCTTCTGGGGGATAACGGTAACGACAATAAGTCAAGTTGTTTCTTTCTTGCTGAAACTTTAACGCTCTGTTATACTTCATGATTGAATTGTTGGTTTCAGATGATAAACCTCATGAAGAAGAAGTCCTCTGTCTGTCAGCTGACACACACACACACACACACACACACACACACACACACACACACACACACACACAGAGTTATCTCAGCTCTGCTCTCTGTTTAGAAATAACCTCCACAGAGGAACATGACATATATGGCTCTGCCGTCACTTTCTTCCTGTTACGTAACAGCTTCGCTTGTTCCCGCCCACCTCGTCTCTTTACAAACGGCGCCACAAACACGAAGTGAATGTGCTGTAAACGACGTTTGTCCCCGTGATTCTCCGTTAACCGTGTGTTTACCGTCTGACCTTCGTCGCCGTGCTTCAGTTCAGCTCCTTTACCGAGTGTTTCTGTTGGAAAAACTTATTTAGAACCGTTTGTTTTGGTGAAAGCTTCAACATTAACCCTGATACGTGACGACGTCTCACATATGGACACCGCAGAACCAAACCTCATATAAAAATATGTCCAAACGAGATTAAACGCGGTTATTGTCGAGATATCACCGTAAAACTGGAAAAGTCAGTGACTGTTATCAGCAATAACAACACTCTTTCATTCGGCATACCTGTCATGCATCACAGAGAGCGCCTATGTCGATAAATAAAACTTTTGTACAATATTTGACCTCTCTTCCCTGCCTTGTCTGACCGGTAGTAGTTTCATTAAAACATAGTGGAACATCGGCGGTACCGCTGAGTTTATTGTGTGAAATTGCATTTTATGATAAGTTGTATCATAAAGAGTATTTTTTAAAATCGGTTTATGTTTTTGTTTATCGAAAGAAGCCCGTATTGTAGCCAATGAGCATGAAAACCTAAAGTGTTGATTGTTGAATGAGGTTTGGTGTACAGCTCTCCCGCACGTATCCGGGCAGGGCTTCCTGCGGCGTCACAACCGACAAGGAAGCCCGCTCAGCCAATAGAGACGTTCCTCTGCCAGGGATAAAGCGCGCGAGGCCAATAAGCGTGTAGAGTGGCGGGTAATTTTTTACTAGCTCGCCTGTGATTGGACAAATCTCCAGCAGATGGCGTCATTTCCCTCGTGGCGCCGCGTTCGTATCGACCAACAGCGTCACAAGAAGAGGTATGTCCAATTAGAATGGAAGAATCCTTCAGCCAATAGGAATTCAACATTTCGACCAGCGCTGTCAGCACAGCCAATCAGAGGCCGGGAAACAGAGCTCGGGGCTCAACAGCTTGTTGTTCGTGAATCGCTTTGCTGCCGTTCGAGAGGGGAAGAAGCCGCCGCGTCCGTGAATGTAAGTACCGAACTCTCCGTTTCTCTTCGGAACCGAGTCCAAACTCAGAGCAGGTTCGATGGTCGGCGGGGCCGGGGGTTCGGGGCCGGGGGCCGGGTGTCACAGGCGGGTGTGGGTGTTCGCAGTTGTCCGCGGTTGTGAGGGTCAGGCTGGGATTGAATGGCAGCGGCAGCAGCGGCTGTTTGTGCGGCGAAGAAGAAACGTGAAGCTCGGCGCCTTTGTGGAGGAAACGACACTTTTACAATAAATATGAATATATAATAATATTACCGACGAGGAGGGGGTGTTATTGTTGTTTAGTGGGGGGCAGACAGGGCGGTCATGTTGGACAGAAACTTGGTTCAGGCTGTAAACGGAAGAGAAGCTCCGAGGAAGAAGAAGAAGAAGAAGAAGAATATCTCTTATTGAACCTTTAAATCAGTTAGCTTCACAGCTAACATTAGCTCCGGGCTCAAACCTGCGCTCTCCTCACTCTCATGTCCGGTTCTAACGGCCTCTGTGCGGACTTTGTTCGTGTCGAGACTCGGTTCTGTGTGTGTGGTTCTCCCCCCACAGCTGCTCCGGGTGTAGCAGGCGGGTTTGGGGGGTGGGGGTGAAGTTAGCAGAGCTAGCCGAGCTGACATGGCTGTGAGCTGTGATGGCGGAGTGACTCAGAGGAGGAGCAGTGGAGGAGGAGGAGGAGGAGCGGGAACAACGAACCTGCTCCGAACCGCTCTCTTTGGACCGTCAGCCCGGCGGATCGGAACCTCCGTGATCGGCCAAGGAGAACCGATCTGGTTCAGAGCAGTTAGCTTTAGGAAGGGGGGGGGGGGGAATGTCTGAGCAACACAAGTCAGAGCGGCTAGCCTGTTAGCTTAGCATGAGCCCAGACCTCAGGACACTTTGACACCCGGTCCTGGTATGTTCCGGTTTGTTCCGATCTGTCCCGGTCCTCTGTACCGGTCTGTTCCGATCTGTCCTGGTCTGTCCCGGTCCGGTTCCTCCTAAAACTAACTCTCAGTCCCTCTGTGTCCCTGTCTTTCAGTGATCCGGATTTCCTTCGAGCTGGACCCCCCCAAGTAACCGCAGAGATGAAGGTGAGTGTTTGACCAGTCCTCAGAACCGGGTCTGGACCGGCCTCTGATGATCCTGGACCCGGGTCTGAGCAGTTTACAGAGTCTCCTGTCTGTCCAGTTTGTCCCTCTGTCTGATCGGAACCAGGGTCGGCTGGTACTGGTTCTTCTACTGGTTCTTCTACCGGTTCCTCTGGTTCTTCTGGGTCCCAGCAGAACTAACTGATCCGAGTTTTCAGTGAAGAGGAGAAACTCTAACACACACACACACTGGAGTTAAATACCAGTACTTGTTGACGGACAGTTGGTCCACGCAGTCATGTGACCTCTAACCAATCGGAGCAGGACTTCAGATGCTGGTTCTGAAGGTCCGTTCTTGTCTCTCAGAGTTTACTCCGTCAGTGAAGTCCTCACTGTTTCACCTCCATCAGCTGAGCAGAAGGTCACCCTCCACCCAGAACCTGGTTCTGATGGAGGACAGAGTTCCCCTCAGTCTGAGAAGTTCCTTCATGTCCAAACGTGAAGGTGGTTCTGAGGGTAAAGACCTCCTCAGACCTGCTCCGTCACCGTTCCTCAGGTCTACACTTTGAGAGAAACTGAGACCTTCAGAGTCCGCTCACCTTCACCGTAACGCTGGGCTAACAAAGACCAGCAGGCTCAGACCAGGTCCCCCTCACTCATGGAGGAGGTCTAAGACCCTCCATCTGCAGACCAGGTCCTGAAGTGGTCCGGATCTTTGACTGAAGAGCTTCACGGGTCAGAGGTGGACCAGGACTGAGCAGCTGGAGGACTGACAAAACCAACACAGATCAGACTCAGAACCGTCTCTGTCAGGGTCTGAGGTCCAGTTCTGGTTCTGTCCCCTCCTGACCCCCCAGCAGCAGAAACAGTCCGGCTGCTCTGATGTTACTGGTTCCCAGTTTTCCCAGTCTAGTGTCCCATCAAAGTCCCGTCCTGTAAGGTCCTGTATCCTTTGATTTTGAACAGTTCTGGTTCTGGTTCTGGTTCTTTTAAATGAGGTTGTTGACCAGAGTTCTTCTGAACTTCTCCAGGAGTTTGTTTGACTCTTCAAAGTCAGCAGAAGACAGAAGACCGTTTATCGTTTCATCTCTCTCCCTCTCTCTCTCTCTCTCTCTCTCTCTCTCTCTCTCTCTCTCTCTCTCTCTCTCTCTCTCTCTCTCTCTCTCTCTCTCTCTCTCTCTCTCTCTCTCTCTCTCTCCCTCTCTCTCCCTCTCTCTGTCTCTCTCTCTCTCTCTCTCTCTCTCTCTCTCTCTCTCTCTCTCTCTCTCTCTCTGTCTCTCTCTCTCTCTCTCTCTCTCTGTCTCTCTCTCTCTCTCTCTCTCTCTCTCTCTCTCTCTCTCTCTCTCTCTCTCTCTCTCTCTCTCTCTCTCTCTCTCTCTCTCTCTCTCTCTCTCTCTCTCTCTCTCTCTCTCTCTCTCTCTCTCTCTCTCTCTCTCTCTCTCTCTCTCTCTCTCTCTCTCTCTCTCTCTCTCTCTCTCTCTCTCTCTCTGTCTCTCTCCCTCTCTCTCTCTCTCTCTCTCTCTCTCTCTCTCTCTCTCTCTCTCTCTCTCTCTCTCTCTCTCTCTCTCTCTCTCTCTCTCTCTCTCTCTCTATCTGTCTCTGCTTGCCACTCTCTGTCTCTCTCCCTCTCTCTCTCTCTCTCTCTCTCTGTCTCTCTCTCTCTCTCTCTCTCTCTCTCTCTCTCTCTCTCTCTCTCTCTCTCTCTCTCTCTCTCTCTCTCTCTCTCTCTCTCTCTCTCTCTCTCTCTCTCTGTCTCTCTCTCTGTCTCTCTCTCTCTCTCTCTGTCTCTCTCTCTCTCCTCTCTCTCTCTCTCTCTCTCTCTCTCTCTCTCTCTCTCTCTCTCTCTGTCTCTCTCTCTCTCTCTCTCTCTCTCTCTCTCTCTCTCTCTCTCTCTCTCTCTCTCTCTCTGTCTCTCTCTCTCTCTCTCTCTCTCTGTCTCTCTCTCTCTCTCTCTCTCTCTCTCTCTCTCTGTCTCTCTCTCTCTCTCTCTCTCTCTCTCTCTCTCTCTCTGTCTCTCTCTCTCTCTCTCTCTCTCTCTCTCTCTCTCTCTCTTGAAATTTTAAAACTAGTTCCAGGAGAACCAGGATCAGTTAGTCCTGGTCTGGTTAGTCCTGTTCAGGACTGTCTGCAGTGACACCTGCTGAAGACCCTCACAGAGGGGCCCTGTAGAGAGTCCCTGTAGAGGGTCCGGTGGGTTGTCCTCTTCCAGAACCTTTCACACAGACCCTGAGGGCTCCATATCAGGGACCAGAGGAGGTCCAAATGAAACACCTGTGTGTGTGTGTGTGTTTGAGTCCTTGAGACTTTAGACCCCTTTAACTGGTCCTGGTCCTGGTCTCTAGACGGTTCAGGGGGTTTGAAGTGATTTAGAAAGACTGGTTTCTCCTGAAAAACCTCAAACCCTCTCCGATAGTCCTCGTTCAGTCAGACCCAGGTCCCCACACACACACAGACTGAGATCAGACCAGGTCACCTGTTAGTCTGGGTCAGTCCTCTGAGAGGGTTTAATGGACCTACCTGAGCTTTTGAGGACCCGGGTCTCAGTCTGGACTCTCTGGAACCAACAGTCCCTGCTGTTTTTGGTCATGTGATCATGAGTCATCGTTGAAAACAGAGACATCTAGATCCAAAGATCTAGATCTGATCCTTTCCTTCCTACAGACGTCGGAGCAGAGCCTCAGCTGCAGTGCATGCTGGGAGGGAGAGTGTGTGTCCTGATGCCACTGACCTGTGTGTGTGTGTGTGTGTGTGTGTGTGTGTGTGTGTGTGTGTGTGTTCAGGCAGCAGACGAGCCTGCCTACCTGACCGTGGGGACGGATGTCAGCGCCAAGTACAGAGGAGCGTTCTGTGAGGCCAAGATCAAGACTGTGAAGAGGATGGTGAAGGTGAAGGTAAGAGACGCCACTGAGCACGCTCAGAAACCACCTGAGACCGCCCTCCCTCAGGTCCTTCTGGTCTGGGGTCACAGACTGGTCTGTGTGTGTCTGTGGACTCACCCTCGTCCTCTTCTCTGCAGGTGACTCTGAAAGGTGAGAGCACGTCCCAGGTGGTGCAGGATGACCAGGTTAAAGGTCCTCTGAGGGTAAGCTGCTGCTGCTGTCTCCATGGTAACGGTAAACATGTCTGTCATGACAGTCTGGATAAAGAGTGTGTGTGTGTGTCTCAGGTGGGCTCCACGGTGGAGGTGAAGACCAACGAGGGTCTGTCCAGTGAGGCCGTCATCGGTAAGCTGACGGACGCCAGCCTCTACACTGTAGGTGAGTCTGATCCTGCGCTCTGATTGGTCCACACAGACCGTCACACACACACACACACCTAGAGGACGGTTTTCTTCATGGATCCCTGAATCAGCTGATGGTCACCTGTCATGGTCACATGATCACACAGCGACCATCTTTGGGTTCGAATAGAAAGTAAGATCCAGGTGTGACCTCTGCTGTCGGGGTCAACCTCAGAGGTCATGTGACTGCGGTTTGTCGGGGGGAGGAGTGATGATGCTGAGAGAAGGTTTCGCTCAATGACCTGATGATGTCATATGATGTCACATTATCTCTTGGCTGTCTGACCAATCCCCTGCCTGTTGGATCACACATTAGAGGTCAAAGTTCAATGGTATTAAAGGGGGCGGGGCCACCGACTAACTGAACTCTGTGTGTTTCAGTGTTTGACGACGGCGACGAGAAGACTCTTCGTCGTACGTCCCTGTGTCTGAAGGGAGAGAGACACTTCGCAGAGAGTGAGGTGAGTCCGGCACAGATGGAGGGACTACTTTTCAGGGCCGTATCCCTCCACCAGAGGACCGGACCCGAGTCTCCTCTGGTCCTTCAAAGTCCGAGAACATCTTAGAGGGACTGTCAGGGATCCTCTTCTTCTTCTTCTTCTTCTCGTTAAAGTCGCTGTGAGGAGTTTTGAAGCTGTTTTCTTCAAACAGGAGGAGAGAGGAGGAGAGAGGAGGAGACGGCTGACGTTAGTTTGTTAGACCTGTTTGAGGAGATCAGACACACCTGAGTTTACCTGAGTTTACCTGTTTGTTTGTTTCTGTGTGTGAAACTCTCTAAACCCTGAATATGAGTCGAGTTTTTTCTTCTTCTTCTTCTGCTCAGACGCTGGACCAGCTGCCGCTGACCAACCCCGAACACTTTGGTACTCCGGTTATCGGCAAAAAGACGAATCGAGGAGGACGGCGCTCCTCCCAGGCTGTGTGAGTTCATCACTCTGAGACTCGAACGATCAGATTGATCATTTCTGAGAGTTTCTTTGGAGGAACTGCAGCCTCCTGTTTGACCTCCTGTCTCACCTCCTGTTTCACCTCCTGTTTGACCTCCTGTCTCACCTCCTGTTTGACCTCCTGTCTCACCTCCTGTTTGACCTCCTGTCTCACCTCCTGTTTGACCTCCTGTCTCACCTCCTGTCTCACCTCCTGTTTGACCTCCTGTCTCACCTCCTGTTTGACCTCCTGTTTGACCTCCTGTCTCACCTCCTGTTTGACCTCCTGTTTGACCTCCTGTTTGACCTCCTGTCTCACCTCCTGTTTGACCTCCTGTTTGACCTCCTGTTTCACCTCCTGTTTGACCTCCTGTTTGACCTCCTGTCTCACCTTTTGTCTCACCTTCTGTTTGACCTCCTGTTTGACCTCCTGTTTGACCTCCTGTTTCACCTCCTGTCTCACCTCCTGTCTCACCTCCTGTTTGACCTCCTGTCTCACCTCCTGTTTCACCTCCTGTCTCACCTCCTGTTTGACCTCCTGTTTGACCTCCTGTTTGACCTCCTGTCTCACCTCCTGTTTGACCTCCTGTTTCACCTCCTGTTTCACCTCCTGTTTCACCTCCTGTTTGACCTCCTGTCTCACCTCCTGTCTCACCTCCTGTTTGACCTCCTGTCTCACCTCCTGTTTGACCTCCTGTCTCACCTCCTGTCTCACCTCCTGTCTCACCTCCTGTTTGACCTCCTGTTTGACCTCCTGTCTCACCTCCTGTCTCACCTCCTGTCTCACCTCCTGTTTGACCTCCTGTTTGACCTCCTGTTTCACCTCCTGTTTGACCTCCTGTCTCACCTCCTGTTTGACCTCCTGTTTCACCTCCTGTCTCACCTCCTGTTTGACCTCCTGTCTCACCTCCTGTTTGACCTCCTGTCTCACCTCCTGTCTCACCTCCTGTTTGACCTCCTGTCTCACCTCCTGTCTCACCTCCTGTCTCACCTCCTGTCTCACCTCCTGTCTCACCTCCTGTTTGACCTCCTGTCTCACCTTCTGTTTGACCTCCTGTTTGACCTCCTGTTTGACCTCCTGTTTCACCTCCTGTCTCACCTCCTGTCTCACCTCCTGTTTGACCCCCTGTCTCACCTCCTGTCTCACCTCCTGTCTCACCTCCTGTTTGACCTCCTGTTTGACCTCCTGTCTCACCTCCTGTCTCACCTCCTGTCTCACCTCCTGTCTCACCTCCTGTTTGACCCCCTGTCTCACCTCCTGTCTCACCTCCTGTCTCACCTCCTGTTTGACCCCCTGTCTCACCTCCTGTCTCACCTCCTGTCTCACCTCCTGTTTGACCTCCTGTTTGACCTCCTGTCTCACCTCCTGTCTCACCTCCTGTCTCACCTCCTGTCTCACCTCCTGTCTCACCTCCTGTTTGACCCCCTGTCTCACCTCCTGTCTCACCTCCTGTCTCACCTCCTGTTTGACCTCCTGTCTCACCTCCTGTCTCACCTCCTGTCTCACCTCCTGTTTGACCTCCTGTCTCACCTCCTGTTTGACCTCCTGTCTCACCTCCTGTCTCACCTCCTGTTTGACCTCCTGTCTCACCTCCTGTCTCACCTCCTGTCTCACCTCCTGTTTGACCCCCTGTCTCACCTCCTGTCTCACCTCCTGTCTCACCTCCTGTTTGACCTCCTGTCTCACCTCCTGTCTCACCTCCTGTTTGACCTCCTGTTTGACCTCCTGTTTGACCTCCTGTCTCACCTCCTGTTTGACCTCCTGTCTCACCTCCTGTCTCACCTCCTGTCTCACCTCCTGTTTGACCTCCTGTCTCACCTCCTGTCTCACCTCCTGTCTCACCTCCTGTTTGACCTCCTGTCTCACCTCCTGTTTGACCTCCTGTCTCACCTCCTGTCTCACCTCCTGTTTGACCTCCTGTCTCACCTCCTGTCTCACCTCCTGTCTCACCTCCTGTTTGACCCCCTGTCTCACCTCCTGTCTCACCTCCTGTCTCACCTCCTGTTTGACCCCCTGTCTCACCTCCTGTCTCACCTCCTGTCTCACCTCCTGTTTGACCCCCTGTCTCACCTCCTGTCTCACCTCCTGTCTCACCTCCTGTTTGACCTCCTGTTTGACCTCCTGTCTCACCTCCTGTCTCACCTCCTGTCTCACCTCCTGTTTGACCCCCTGTCTCACCTCCTGTCTCACCTCCTGTCTCACCTCCTGTTTGACCTCCTGTTTGACCTCCTGTCTCACCTCCTGTCTCACCTCCTGTCTCACCTCCTGTCTCACCTCCTGTTTGACCCCCTGTCTCACCTCCTGTCTCACCTCCTGTCTCACCTCCTGTTTGACCTCCTGTCTCACCTCCTGTCTCACCTCCTGTCTCACCTCCTGTCTCACCTCCTGTTTGACCTCCTGTCTCACCTCCTGTTTGACCTCCTGTCTCACCTCCTGTCTCACCTCCTGTTTGACCTCCTGTCTCACCTCCTGTCTCACCTCCTGTCTCACCTCCTGTTTGACCCCCTGTCTCACCTCCTGTCTCACCTCCTGTCTCACCTCCTGTTTGACCTCCTGTCTCACCTCCTGTCTCACCTCCTGTTTGACCTCCTGTTTGACCTCCTGTTTGACCTCCTGTCTCACCTCCTGTTTGACCTCCTGTCTCACCTCCTGTCTCACCTCCTGTCTCACCTCCTGTTTGACCTCCTGTCTCACCTCCTGTCTCACCTCCTGTCTCACCTCCTGTTTGACCTCCTGTCTCACCTCCTGTCTCACCTCCTGTTTGACCTCCTGTCTCACCTCCTGTTTGACCTCCTGTCTCACCTCCTGTCTCACCTCCTGTTTGACCTCCTGTCTCACCTCCTGTCTCACCTCCTGTCTCACCTCCTGTTTGACCCCCTGTCTCACCTCCTGTCTCACCTCCTGTCTCACCTCCTGTTTGACCCCCTGTCTCACCTCCTGTCTCACCTCCTGTCTCACCTCCTGTTTGACCCCCTGTCTCACCTCCTGTCTCACCTCCTGTCTCACCTCCTGTTTGACCTCCTGTTTGACCTCCTGTCTCACCTCCTGTCTCACCTCCTGTCTCACCTCCTGTCTCACCTCCTGTCTCACCTCCTGTTTAGGACGGTCATCACTCTCTTGATCGTTTCTTTAAATTCCCTTAAACTGTGAATAAATGAGACACTCGGAGAGCGGCGGAGGGTTCACGTCTTTTTAGAGTTCACTTTTCGAGGAGCGCTGACCTCCTGTCCGTCTGTGTGTCTCAGGGCCGACGAGGAGAACGAGTCTTCGTCCAGCGAGGACGAGGAGGAGGACAGGAGGAGGCTGAACGACGAGCTGTTGGGGAAAGTCTCCAGCATAGAGAGTGAGGAGGAACCTGGGAGCTGCTTCATGGCTCTGGTAAACACACACACACACACACACACACACACACACACACACACACACACACACACACACACACACACACACACACACTCCCCTCCGGGCCTGTTACATGTAAACACTGGCCTTTGATCTGATTGGCTGTTGGCTGTGATGTCACTCTCAGGTGGTGTCTCCGAGCTGTAACGATGAACAGGTGGTGAAGAAGGATCAGTGTCTGGTCCGATCCTTCAGCGACTCCAAGTTGTGAGTTTGTTTTTGTTGTTTGTTTGTTTTTGTTGTTTGTTTGTTTGTTTGTTTGTTTGTTGATTGATCTCTGATCAGAAAATGATCAGCTGTCTCACCCTCCTTCTTTCTGCTTCCTGTCAATCTTCAGCCACACGGTGGCGAGGAGACATGTCCACGCCGTCACCGCCTCCAGCATCACCAGGGCGGAGTACTCCAGCATGAAAGGTGGGACACTACAACTCCCACAATGCAACAGGACAGCAGCTCGATTCTCCCTCTGTGCCTTTTCTTCTGAGATATTTGTCCTCCTCATCATGTTTCTTCTCCTCCTCCTCCTCCTTCTCTCTTTCTCCTCTTTCCTTGCTCCTTTCACTTTTTTTATCTCCTCCTCTCTTCCTCCTGCATCGTTGTCCCTTTGTCCTCCTCCTCTCCTCCTCCTGTAGGTTATGAGGCGGCCCAGGTGTTCCTGAGGAGCAGGGAGGTCCCTGATGTTTGGAAGATGGACATGAGTCAGATCCTGGACTCCTCCTCCAGTGATGATGAGGAGGATGAAGAGGAGAAGGAGAGCGATGAAGAAGAGGATGATGAAGATGAGAAGAAGAAGAAGAAACACATAAAAGAGGAGGTGAGGGAGGTCTCCGTCCGTCCAGGTGTGACTGATGAGGAGGAGGAGGAGGAGGAGGAGCTAACCTGTGTGTGTGTTTGTTTCAGCCGGAGGAGGAGCAGGACCCTGAGGAGCGAGACCACTTCCTGCAGCAGCTCTACAAGTTCATGGAGGACCGAGGTGAGACTCCTTAGACCGTTTGGACCTGCTGGGTCGGTTCTGGTTAGTCCACCTGAACAGGAACCTTAGAGAAGACCGGGACTGACTCACTGTAGGACTCTGCCTCTAGTGGACGACGGAGGAAGTGCAGTCTCTATAGTCTGTTAACCCGTCTGTTAATCTGTCTGTTAACCCGTCTGTTAACCCGTCTGTTAACCCGTCTGTTAACTCGTCTGTTAACCCGTCTGTTAACCCCTCAGGGACCTCCATCAACAAGCCCCCAGTCCTGGGTTACAAAGACCTGAACCTGTTCAAGCTCTTCAGACTCGTCTATCAGCAGGGGGGCTGCCACAAGGTGAGCGCCGCGCCCCCGTGTCCGACGCTGCGTCTGAGTTTCCTCAGAGGTCGGAGCTGAAAATGTCGTCACACCCGAGTTCTCGGAGTTTCAGTCACGAAGTCGGAAAAAACAAGATGGCGACGTCTGCGGAAGTTCTTTTAACGCTCACCGTTTATCCGGACAACGAAGCGCTAAAATAACCTCCGTAGATCTCGTAGACGACGCCATCTTGTTTCCTCCTCTGATTAGTTTTTTGAACTCTGACGACATTTTCAGCTCCGCCCTCTGAGGTCACTCCAACGCACCGTAACCATGAATACCTGGGTGATGTCACTTCCTGCTCAGTGCACAGTTGTCTGAACGTGTTGTTGTTGTTGTGTGTTTGTGTGTTGTTGTTGTTGTTGTTGTTGTGTGTTTGTGTGTTTGTGTGTTGTTGTTGTTGTGTGTTTGTGTGTTTGTGTGTTGTTGTTGTGTGTTTGTGTTGTTGTTGTTGTGTGTTTGTGTTGTTGTTGTTGTGTGTTTGTGTGTTTGTGTGTTTGTTGTGTTGTTGTTGTGTGTTCAGATCGACTCGGGGACGGTGTGGAAGCAGATCTACATGGATCTTGGGATCCCGGTCCTGAACTCTGCAGCGTCCTACAACGTGAAGACGGCCTACAGGAAGTAAGAGCGCACGCACACACACATGCACACGCGCACACACACACACACACACACACACACGGTCTGACTCTCTGATCGCCTGAAAACGTCGATCACCTCGCCGAGTTAAACTCAAACGTGGCGTTTTCGTCCTCAGACGTCAGTTTTGACCTTTTAGTTTCAATGATTCAGTTTCTATGAACCACGAGAATCTCGGCGCCACTTTGAAGGTTAAGACGTGTTTCAAACGGGATCATGTGACTCTGAAGAGCCTCCAATAAAAGAGCGTCAGTCTGACCGACAGTCTGAGCTCCAGGAGGAGACAGAGGCGTGGCGTGGGGAGGCGCGGTGAGGCGCGGCGTTTGAATTTCTCCTGAAGAAACTCGTGATCACTCTGTCTGTCAGAGAGCGTTACTCGAAGATGATTGGGCGGGGCTCCGAGGGTCATGTGACCCGGTGGAGGTCAGGGGTGATGATGCAGAGAAAGGTTTCGCTCACTTGGACTGAAGTCCTGTGATGTCACTTCCTCTTGGCTGTCTGACCTGATTTAAATCTGTATGTTCGAGGATGATTGACAGGTCAGACTCCGCCCTGCTGTAACTGACTCAGTTTCCCATCAGCCCCCAGTGTGTTGACGATGTACTTCCTGTCCGCAGGTACCTGTACGGGTTCGAGGAGTACTGCCGCTCCGCCTGCATCACCTTCAGGACAATCCACCACAACAATCCCCGCCCCCCTGCCACACCAGCCAATCTGAGGCCGGTGGGGGCGGAGTTTAAGGAGTCCTTCGTGCCACCTTTGAAGACGGAGCCTGTGGACGCCAAGATGGAGGAGGCGGAGTCAGAAAGTGAGAGCGAGAAGGAGGAGGCGAAGGAGAGACAGGCATCACCGAGGGTGAGACCACCTTTACTCCTCTGACTCCTCCTTTACTTCTCCTGTGTTCTCCTCCTTTCTCTCCTCCTTTCTCTCCTCCTCTCTCTCCTTTCACTCCTCCTTTCTCTCCTCCTCTCTCTCCTTTCACTTCTCCTTTCTCTCCTCCTTTCTCTCCTTTCCTCCTTTTACTCCTCCTTTCACTCCTTCTTTCACGCCTCCTTTCTCTCCTCCTTCCACTCCTTTCACTTCTCCTTTCTCTCCTTTAACGCCTCCTTTTTCTCCCTTTCACTCCTCCTTTTCTCCTCCTTTTCTTCCTTTCTCTCCTCTCTCTCCTTTCACTCCTCCTTTCTCTCCTCCTTTACTTCTCCTTTCTCTCCTCTCTCTCCTTTAACGCCTCCTTTTTTCTCCCTTTCACTCCTCCTTTCTCTCCTCTCTCTCCTTTCACTCCTCCTTCTTCTCCCTCTCTCTCCTTTCACTCCTCCTTTTCTCCTCCTTTTCTTCCTTTCTCTCCTCTCTTTCCTTTCACTCCTCCTTTTTCTCCTCCTTTCTCCCCTCTGTCCTTGAACGTCTCCTCGTTATTCTGAGTCTCCTCCTCCTGTTTGTGTGTTTCAGGGGAGAAGGAGGTGTGTTGGGAGTCAGGTGAAGGCAGAGAGAGAGTCTCCCTCCAGACCAGAGAAGAGAGGAGGAGGAGGAGGAGGAGGAGGAGACAACAGCGAGGAGCAGAGGGAGATGAGGAGGCGCAGCAGCAGGAGAATGGAAGACTCAGAGAGAGGCTCTGAGGAAGAGGAGGAGGACGATGATGACGAGGAGGAGGAGGAGGAAGAGGAGGTGGAGAGGAGGAGAGGAGACAGGTGAGGCTGTGTGTGTGTGTGTTTGTGTGTGTGTGTGTTTGTGTGTGTGTGTGTTTGTGTGTGTGTGTGTGTGTGTTTGTGCGTATAGTTGTGTGTGTGTGTGTGTGTGTTTGTGTCTGTCTGTTTGTGTGTTTGTTTGTGTGTGTCTGTGTGTTTGTGTGTGTTTGTGTCTGTTTGTGTGTTTGTTTGTGTGTGTTTGTTTGTGTGTGTTTGTGTGTGTTTGTGTCTGTTTGTGTGTTTGTTTGTGTGTTTGTTCACAAAACCACAAAGAATTTCAGAGTAAAAATGTAAATCCAGTTTAATCCGGTCTGTGAACACTGACGGTTTCTGTCTGTGTGTGTGTGTGTGTGTGTGTGTCCGTGTGTTTGTGTGTGTGTTTGTGTGTGTGTGTCAGGAGCGAGGGCGAGGAGGACGAGGACTCGTTGGCGGGGACGAAGGTGAGGGTGAAGTACGGTCGAGGAAAGACTCAGAAGATCTACGAAGCTCACATCAAGAAGACGGACGTGGACAACGGCGAGCAGTTCTACCTCGTCCACTACTACGGCTGGAACGTCAGGTGAGTCCGTCAACGGGTGGGAGGAGTCAGGGTGTGCAGGAGGCGGAGCCTGTACTGAGCAGGTGTGTCTGACCCTCAGGTACGATGAGTGGGTGAAGGCCGACCGCATCATCTGGCCCGTGGAGAAAGGGACGAAGAAGAGGACGAGGAAGAAGGTGAAGGTGAGCGTGGACGGAGGGTCATGTGACCTTCTCTGACGGACAGGTGTGACCATGACTGTCCTCACCTGTCCTCTTCTGTCCCCACAGAACAAAGACAAGGAGGAGTCTGAAAAGGAGCGAGACGAGGAGAAGACGCCCACCACGGCGAAGCCGCCAGGAGCGAAGCGAGGTCGTCCTCAGATCAGGACCACGCCCACCGGCCCCCCAGGACGCAGCGTCTCTAAAACGCCGAGTACTGATGGACGGTCCAACGGCAGGAGCAGGACGGAGACCGCCGGCGCCAGCATGTCCAACGGAGACAGTAAGACACACTGAGCATGCTCAGAACCACAGCGTATGTAGGTGTCTTTCTCTGAGTTTAATAAGCTCCTCCCCCTGCAGACATTCCTCGCCGGAGGACACGGAGGACGTCAGGGAGGTACGACTCAGACAGAGCGTCAAACGGTGAGAACAGAACCACTTCCTGTTTCCTGTTGCTGATCAGACACTAACCTGTCGTTTGTCTCCTGCAGAGGATTCTGGGAACTCATCAGACGACAGCGAATCAGAAGAGCCGCCTGACAAGAAGCCGTCTCCATGGCGAGGAAGAGGTGAAGCCCCGCCCAGCCAGCAGGAGGAAGAGGAAAGGGAGGCGGAGCAAGAGGAGGAGGAGGAGGAGGAGGAAGAGGAGGAGAGAAGCGAGGACGCCGTCGTTCAAAAGGTCGCTCACCCTGACATCACTGTCACCACGGCAACAACAGCTCAGCTTCCTGCTGTCACTGCCCCTCTGTGTCCCAGCATGCCTCAGGAGAACCAATCAGAGAAGAAGGAGGCGGAGCCTGGGGAGGCGCCTGCCGAGGCTCCTCTGGACAAAGAAGACAAAACGTCTCCGCCCCAGGACGCCGTCAGCAGGACGCCGTCTGTTCTCGACAGGAACAAGATGTCTCCTGGACAGGAAGTTCTCCCAAAGACGTCCCCCAGCAGGGCGTCGCCCCTCCCTGACAGGACCAGCAAAACCTCGTCTCCCACCGCCGCCATCGCATGTGCCGCCGCCGCCGCCTCCTCCCCGGACAAACAGAAGGCGTCGTCGTCCCCTCAGCCCGCTCCTGCAGACGAGGAGGAGCGGTCCACCCCTCTGTCCTCCCCCAGGGTCAAAGGTCGCAGGACCAACCTCAAAGACACAGCCCCTGAGACTCCGCCCAGAACGCCACTCTGCACTCCCAGCTCCGCCCCAGCTATTAGCCCCTCCCACATCGCTGTGATGACCTCACCACCTCGTGGCGTCCTGAAGAGACAGGACGAGCCAATGGTGGTCCTCCGCTGTCTCCCCACCCAGCACCTCCCCCCTGAGACTCCCGCCGCCGCTGCCGCCGACTCTGACACCGACTCCGCCTCCGAGGAGGAGGGGGAGGAGTTACCTGACGAGCGGAGCAGCTCGGCGCTGAAACGGAAGGTCGCAGGTCAGGGAACAGCAGAGAAGAAGCTCCGCCCCGACAGGAAGCAGGAGGAGGCCGCCTCCCCCAGAACACCTCCTGCTCCATCCAAGATGGCCGCAGGAGCGTCTCCCAAAACCCTCCCCTCCCCTCTGCGGCGGGGGGAGGCGGAGCGAAGGAGCGAGGGAATGGTTAAAGGAGAGGAATGGCCCCGCCTCTGCGAGGAGAAACCACGAGAGGCGTCCGCGGAGAGGCTGACGGGCGGGGCCACGGAGGAGCCCCAGGTGCATGCTGGGATGCCAGTTCCTGCTGTAGAGGCTCTTGGCCCCGCCCCCTCAGAGGAGCTGGAGCCGCAGATCGGCCCCGAGGCGCTCGTCTGCCACGAGGTCGACCTGGACGACCCCGACGAGAAGGAGAAACTGTCTCCGCCTCCAGAGCACCTCCTCCTGATGATGAGGGAGCAACCGGCGCCGCTGACCCCGCTGATCCACACCCACCTCCCCCAGCCTCAGGTCAGACCTCTCCTCGCCACGCCAAGCTCCGCCCCCTGCCCCGAAGAGCTCCACTCAGCCCGGAGCGCCGCAGAGGAGGAGAGAGGAGCGGCGAGGAGAGAACAGGAGGGAGACTCCAGCCCGTCCTCGTCCACCTCCACCTCGCTGCTGTCGCTGCAGGACGCCAAGGACCGAGGTAAGCCACACCCACACCGCCTGACCACCTCCACTTAACAGGCAGCCCTCTGATTGGTCAGCTGTGTAGTAACCTGTGTGACCTTTGACCCCTCAGGTCACAAAAGAGTGATGGACTGTAACACGAGTCCGACGGCGAAGAAACACAAACGCAACCAGAAACGACCGCACACGCCGGGGAAGGCGGACAAGAACGGAGCAGGTGACCACCACTCTGATCATTATTGATTATTAATCATTATTAAGTCATTACTTTTCTCCATCATTACTGTTTCCATGGCAACGCTCCACGCCAAAAAGCAGCGAAAATTTCCCGATGTTAGCGGATAGGAGAGGGCGAGGCCATACTCTGACGTAGAAGCGCGATTCAAACATCCAAACGTCGACCGCGGTCCTGTGGTTTCAAACGTGTCGACGGCGCGTCGATATCTGGAACGGTTTGGTCACAGGAAGTGTTGGAGCGAGGGGCGCAAACGAGGAAGGGAAGTGAACGTGTCATCCCAGTTTTTAATTTCTAAATCGCCGCCACGGCCACAATTTTCCCTCGACACCCACAAATCAAACATCAGAACGTAGGGAATCTCCCCGCCGGACAGGAAATGGCGACCTTAAAGCCGTGAGACGCTCACTTTCTAACCTACGAGGTTTTGTTTGGGAGGAGCTTCCTGTTTCACCGCCATCCACCGACTGGCGCTCCCGTCTAAACCGTGAAGCGTAGAAACTCGTCCCTCTGAAATGTCGTCGCTGTATTCGAGCAGTCGCTCACGGTTCGGAGTTTTTTCCGATACGACATGTAGTTTGTCGGCAACGAGCCGTTTTGTCGGCACTACTGAGAAATCAAGATTCCTATAATGGAGCTGCTGAAAACATGGCGTGGTCTCCATATTTGAAGCTTGGCTGTGATGTCATACTTTGAGGTAGAAATGTGATTTGAACTCTGACCTTTAGATGAGACTTGAACCCTTCAACCTGCGAAAACCGCATTTCAACGTCTCTGACGGTTTTCCCACAAATTGAGTTTGTTTGAGCGGTCCTGTTCTAAGCTGTCACCATGGAGACGAGGCCCGCCCACCTGGTATCGATTGACAGCTGTCAGACGGATCAGATTCATGACAAAGACCTGAAATCATCAACGCTTTGACACATCAGCTCCATATTTAAGACACACCCCCCTCTGCAGCCATCTTGGATGTCCCCACCATCCCCAAACAGGAAGTGGCCCTAAACGCATTAATGCCCTCAGTGATCTCCACCCAAAACATGACCTGAATGTGAATAAACCGGCGGCAAGCAGCAGCCAATCAGCAAGCGGACAGGAACACGTCAAAACTTCCTGGAATTTTATTATTATTATTATTATTATTTATTTTTTATTATTATTATTACTGTTATTACTATGATTATTATTTTTTAACTGTTATTGTTATTAACAGGTTTATCATTATTATTATTATTATTATTATTATCATTGTAATTATTATTATAAACGTCGCCGTCGTCGTCGTCGTTGTCGTCGTTGATGTTGTTGTTGTTGTTGCCGTTCTCTGTTTGGGGGTCGGTGGTCTCCTGAGGTCTTTGTGGACCCTCAGAGTTTCTGACCCGGCTCCCTCAGGTCCATCAGTGTTCGTTCTCGCTCACGGTTTTAAGTTTGATTTCCTGAATATCTGGTGGAGCCCATGTGACCTCGGTCGCCATGGAAACCCAGAGAGAGGACAAACTGACCCAACAAACACACCCGTCCAATCACCTTTAACCTTTGACCCCTGTCTGCCCTCAGGTCACAGCAGTGACAGCGAGGACCAGTCCCGGGTCTCGTCTCTGACCCAGAAGTCTCAGAAGTCTCGCTGTCCCGGTCTGTCGTCCCCCCCCTCCAAAGACAAACACAACTTCTCTCCTCAGAGGACCTACAAGTGGACCTTCCAGCTCGGTAAAGACTCACTCTCACAGGTTCTGGTTCTGGTTCTGGTCTGTCAGACTCGGTCTAACCTTCTGCCCCCCCCCTCAGATGAGCTGGACTCCATGTCGAGCACAGAGAGGATCTCCTTCCTGCAGGAGAAGCTGCAGGAGATCAGGAAGTACTACATGACCCTGAAGTCGGAGGTGGCGTCCATCGACCGGCGCAGGAAACGGCTAAAAAAGAAGGAGCGGGAAGGTAGGGGGAGCCGCAGTGCATGCTGGGAAAACGCTCTGACACACAGTCCAGGGTGGTACTGATGCTGCGTTTGAGTTTCCTCTGAATCCAGACGTCGGAAAATGACGTCAAAACCCGAGTTTCCAACGCCAAGTCGGAAAAAAGCGAAAATCGGAGGAAGAAACAAGATGGCGACATCTACGACGTTTATTTATTTTTTCTGCTTGGCTTATGTTTTCGGACAAGACAAGCGCTAAAATAACTTTCGTAGATGTCGCCATCTTGTTTCTTCCTCCGATTTTCGCTTTTTTCCGACTTGGCGTTGGTAACTCGGGTTTTGACGTCATTTTCCGACATCTGACTTCAGAGGAAACTTGAGACTCGTCACATCGTCACAAAGTTGTGACGATGTTGTGGTGGGCGGGGTCATCGGGTAAACTTTAGTTGTATGCCCCACCCACTCTCTGCCCTTGTCCAATCACATGCCAGCGTTCTTCAGCGTGGTCATTTCCTGTGTCTGTGTCTCCGTCAGTGTCCAACACCACGGCGTCGACCTCCTCCGGCTCCTCGGACACCGGCATGAGTCCGTCCTCGGCCTCGCCCACTCAGAACACGGTGGCCGTGGAGTGCAGGTGATGACACGCCCACCCAGGCCCCGCCCATTCTCGCACATAACCCGGCCCTGCCCTCGTCTCGTCACAGACTCCGCCCACTCCGCCAGCTCTGAGGTCAGAGACTGAACCCACTGATGCAGGGGCTGATGGGAGCGGCACAAGCCCCGCCCCCTCAGCTATGAACTGACTTCCTGTTTGAGGAGAGCGAGAATCAGCCGTCTGTTCGGCGCCACAGAGGACGTCTTTGTTTCCTCGCTTCCTTTCCTTCTTTCCTTTCCTTCCTTCCTCCAGGATGTTTCCTCATTAAAAAGTGGTCAGAGGTCAGAGGTCAGCACGGCTCTTTATGCAACTTCCTGTTTGCCCCCCCGATATTTTTGAAGAAGAGAGAGAGTCGGCGTGCTGCGGGCGATCGAGAACTTTTATAAAAACAAACAGAGACTTTTATTTTGGTAAAAACACGGATGATGATGACGATGATGATGAAGGTCACAGGTGACCCGGTTCTGCTCCTCCTCCTCATCAGTTTGAAGTTCTGGTCCAGATCCCGTCTCTGAACTTCGGCTCCATGAGCTCCTGTCTCCTCCTCCTCCTTTTCTTCTTCGTTGGTTTTCTTCTTCCTCTTCTGCCTGGAGGACCTCTGCTGCATTACTTCCTGTCCTCTCTTCTTCCTCTTCTGTGGCGCTCAGACAGACAGACGGACAGACGGCTGGTTGGCGCTCGTGTTTTCGTTGTTTGTACATAAAGAAGAAATAAACCCCGCCCCCTCCCTCCTACCTGTATTTGAAGAGCAGAAGAAGAAGAAGAAGAAGGTTGTTGTTGTTTCTGTAAAGAATGATTTCTAATATTTTTTAAGACGAGAAGACTCTTTGTACTCTTGGATTATTATTATTATTCTTCTTCTCTTTGACTCCGCCTCTCTTTGCTTTTTTTCTATGTGCTGTTTTTGTTAGAGACACACTGTAAATACACACACACACACGCACACACACACACACACACACACAGAGGAGAGTGTGTGTGTGTGTGAGGAGAACAGAGATCTCTGTTTCTAATAAAGTTTTTAAATCCGTCCTCCGGTCCTCTGATTCTGATCCACTGAAAAACTAAGTCCAGAACCGGACTCTGGACTCTGGACTCTGGACTCTGGACCCTGAATGAGGAGGTCTACAGTGGATCTAAACGTCGACTCACTCCTGATCAACCTCCAGGTTTCTGTCATGTAAGAAAATTAAATCAACATAAATAATTTCAGAACTTCTTCCTCCTTTAATGTGACCTTTGTAGTGATTTGAAATGAGCCTCACAAGGCCGCACCAAAATATATGTAGCGATTTGAAATGAGCCTCACAAGGCCGCACCAAAATAATACTTGGCGATTGGAATTTATAATAAATGTCTGAAGATTAATAATCTCAAATTATGACATTTATGCACTCGTTGAAAGGGGCACCACCCACCCTTAATGGTGGGAAAATAAAGAAAACAAAAGTTTAATTCAGAAATCAAACATCAAGTCAGTTTTAATTAATCAGTCTTAATTAATCAGTCTTAATTAATCAGTCTCATATCTTAAGTCGAAATTCTAATTTCAGGGACTCCACTTCTGGAAGAACACTAACAGACAGGAACTTAGAAAAATAATGATCTGTTTATTACAGGATAAATGATGGTACAACACACATGCAATAAATGATGATAAGATAATGAAGATAGATAATAATAGGTGAATAAATAAAGATTCTGAGTCAGGCTAGGAGCACTAAAGTTAATGATAGTGAGTGAATATGCGCTAACATATTAACCTACACTAACTTTGGTGTCGAGATAAACTCGAGTGTAGATTTGGAGGAATCTAAGATCACCAGAAATAGGTGGATATCTGAGTTATGAACGCGTGAGACAGCATCAGCCCTGTCTGGAGCTCTGGAGGTTTGCATACTTAAGTGAGACTGGTCCTTGGAGAAGATGGAGCAGGTTCCGAAGGTCCGGGGCTACTGGCGGTTCGAGCGGTTCAGCTCAGAAGACGACTGAAGTCAGCCGAAGGATGAGCCAGGAGTTGCAGCACTCGGGCCCGAAGCAAAGCCAGCGCCTGTGGATCCTGTGGATGCTCGTTTGGGTACTTCTTTGGTCTCACTCAAAAACTCTGGCACAGAGGATGACCTGGGCCTGCTGGGTTGCGTTCAGAGGTGACTTTGAAATCACGCAGAAAACTCAGAAAAACGAGGCTCGAAGAGCAGAGAAAACTTTCAAAAATGGCTTCGCGAAATTAAAGAAAAATCAATCAAAGGCTTAATCTTGAATTGCTATGCGCACAAAAAGTTGAAGTTTCAAAACTTGAACTAAGACGATGTTAAAGAAAAATCAACGTGAATCAACACGTGGCGTAAAACTTAGAAGACTAAGAAAAAGTTCTAAGAGAAAACAAAGAAACGCACCACAGAAGGGTGTGGACAGAAGAAAAGGGGCATAAGAGCCGGGGACAAGAGAGTCAGCAGAAGAGCAGAAGCATAAGAGAGGACAAGAGCATAAGAGGAATAAGAGAGAATAAGCGAGTGAGCAACCCCACTTCACTGGTTTTATCTTCTTCACACTGGGAGTGGCTCCGGCGTGTGTGTGAGGAGACAGAGGAGGGGTCGTGTGGTCTTTGATTATTTGATCTAACTTATTCTTTTGGCTGGTAAAAGAGTCAGATCTGATACTCACTCACTATGATTAATATCATTGAATGCTTGGTTTCATGATAAATAATTTGATACTAAACACATATGAATGAAGTGTAGGATCACATCAAACATTCTCATTATGTTTTAAGTATCACATTGAACATGCTAAATTACTCTGAAATGAAACAGATAGTAACACATAGAAACTGTGAACGACAAAAGAGTAAACACATGTGAATGAACGTCATCATGATTAATAATGGATTCTAAATACTCACATTCAGATTATTCAGTGACATTATAACCACCTAATGGTTAAGATACTAAATAAATAACTAAAATATAAACCAAACATTTCTAAACTATTTCTGTTACTTAGAGTAAACTTAGGATTCATAGTCAATAAATTTAACTCTTAAAAGTTCATGAAACAGTCTGAAAAGCTGTTGGTCTAAAGAACTAAAGAATAAGGATTTATTCTGTCAGATAAGATAACTTGGCTTCTGAAGCACATAGAAAAACGGGAAACATCTCATTTTAACACAAATTTCATGATTAGACAGATTAGTACATTGCTGAATGCATAAGATGTCATGATCAGTCATTTGTATTCTTTCACCAAAGGAATGCAGTCTTTATCAGTGTATGGTCGAGCAGGGTTTTACGACCGAGGTCTGGAGGTCAGTGTCCCCCCTTATCCTGGGGTCCGTATGTTCACACACTTTAAGACGCTAAATCTCAAATGGGAGATCTGGGTTGAGACGTTAATGTTTATTTAGATGGTCAGCAAATGGAGTCAGTTTGAAAGGTAATAAAAACTCTGTCTCTGTTCGCCGAACTGACCAATCCTGAAGAGTCAGAGGTTTAGTCAACCTCCGGTTGGGTCACTTATTTAACCTGAAAGGGCAAACACGTCTGGAAAGATTTATATCCTGTTTCCTGGGACCAGATAAGGAAACTTTCCTGTAAGGAATGTGTGGGTTTCACATCCAGGGTTGTCTTGATTGCTACAGTCCCCCCTTCGTCACGGTGGTCCTGTCCATGGAGCATCGGGACGACGAGTAGACAACCATGAAGCAGCAGCAGGTGTATGCAAATAGGACTGATGCGTCTCGTCATCACTATGTGAATCACTAGTACTGCTTTGAGATAAAATTAAGCATGCATTAAGCTATCAAATAAAATAGTCTTGTTGTTAGACTTTTCTCAGTTAACTATTGGTAGACTAATGTGAAAGAAAATCTCCTAATTTTCAGTATTAATGAGATTTAGGAAAGCACTATTTAGTCTGAATGCTAACTGGATCTAAAGCTATAGCTGTTTTTCATGCTTGCTGGAGAAGTCTGAAAGTTCAATTTCAGTTTCAAAAATGGTTAAGACTTAGGTGGAAAAGAAATGTCTGCTATAGACATATTAACCATCTGTGTATGAGCATAGTCAACCTGAATCACAAACATCAAAAGTTTACTGCACAGAGTTTCTCTTAAACTTTGTCTGTTAAACTTGGGGATGATGCTCTTATTGGTTTGACTAATTATCTGCTGTTGAGTCTGAAATTTGTCAATCTGAGTCTTAGTGACAGAAATTTCAGCTTTTAATGTGTTCATGGGATATTTGACAGCTGACAAGCTGACCATATTGACAGAGGAGAGACAAATGCTAACAAAGAAAGCAGCAACTGGTATTGCAGTCATCAATGTATCACCACAGCATTTGGATATCTTATTGGAGTCATTTAGCTTTGGCTGAGTGACTTCTGCTTTCGCAGGACTCACACCTTCATGACTCCGCAGTGTTAATCTCAGTGGTTAGCTGAGTAGTCATGTTTATTCACCTTCAAAGTGGATGAAACCGATTGAGGTGGATAATAAGATCGTCGTTTCTGAGAGTGTGATTTACTCTGATTCTGCCAGTCATTCACCCCACTTTGGCGGTGTTGATGGTTTTTCCTTTGTCTGGGATAAAACCCACCGTGACGGGAGTCTGAATAACAACAGTTGGTCTCAAAGTTTACCTGGCGTTGGTCTGTGTCAGAACTGGGCCTTGGTGTGTAACTTTGACCTTTGTGAGTTTGTTGAGGTCGAAAAGGTTTTGGGGGCCTGGTTAACCACTCATTTGGAGGCTTATCGGAGCCTGAAAATACACAGTCTGAAGCTTCGTTCAGCTCCATGGGCAGTGATTTTGTCCCCATAGCCAAGAGAGTAACGGGCTCTGCTTTCTTAGCCAAAGTTTGTCGTTGTTTGGCAAAACCTTTTACAGCAAGTTCACGAAGCTGTCGGCTAGTCAAAGTGTTTGGACAAGCTAAGACGCCAAGGTGATGACTGGTGGTAGGGTGGAGGTTCTGGACGAACAGCGTTTTGAAGTTCAAGTCCTCCTCCATTTCTGGTTCATTTCGGAAACCAAAGTAAGCTTCGCGTAAGCGGTTGTAATACTGTTGGGGAGATTCTGATCTCCCTTGTTTAATAGACAGAGCAGCAGAGAGGCCTGTCTGGGTCAAATAGTCAGAAAACTCTTCGATTAATGCTTGGCAGAGCAAGTCATAATTATTTCTGACATGATAAGGCTGTCGTTCAAGGAAACTGCTAACCTCTCGACTTGACGTCGCCTTAATAAGGTAGATTTTGTCATCAATGGTTGCACCTGGAAATTTCCTCAGGTAAAAGTCAATGTCTTTCAAGTAGGTGCAGGTGTCAATAGCACCTTGGTGCTCAGGTTCAAAGCGTGCTATGATGCGAGCAATTTTGTCAAGATCCCTGTCTGAGGGAAATGGTAAGAAGCCATCATGAGGAGGAGAGTAGGACTCTTGGTTTAAGGATGACCTCTCAGGGTCAAGCAGGGTCCTGTCATGATGCTGAGAGAGATACTTAAGAGTTGGTTTGGAAGGAAGTGATGGCGCTCTCTCAGGAGGCTGATCACCTATCATTTCTTCAAGAAACGTTTGCTTCATGCGTTCTCTTTGGGCTCGACCTGACTGGAGGGAGCATCGTAACTCTCTTTGGGCATCTTCAAGTTCTTTATCTGTCTTTTCTTGCCGTTCTTGACAAAGAATTAACTGTCTTTGAGCTATCTGGAGCTGGTGCTGTAAGGTAGAAGTTTGCTTCTCCTTAACTTCAAGAGCTTCAGCACGCACTTTGACCAGTGCTTTCAAAGCTTTTACATCTTCTGTTGCTTGCTCTAGTAGGGATTCTGACTGTATCAGATCCTCTGTGGTCTTAGCAAGCTGCTTATTCATGTCATCAAGTTCTTTCTCCTTTTTGTAAAGGGTTTCATTAAGTCTTTCAATCTTGTCTTTGAGATCAAGATTTTCTTCATGACTTATCAGTGAGGGAAGCTTTGACGCTTCACATCTGGCACTGTGTTTTCTAAAACACTTAAAGACTTCTTAGTCTCCTCTAGCGTCTTTTTCAGAGCGCTGTTTTCATCTTTTTGCGCCTTTATCTTTGCTAAAGCGCATTCCAGCAAGTAGTCTTTATACTCAAGCTGAGAAGACATCATGACAGACATGCATCTAGTGAGCTCTTTGTCACGAAGTGTCGTGGTTAAGGCTGTTTCCAGTAAGTCAGCCATTGCATCCTCCGGATTGGAGGGTTTGGCCTTTTGAATCTTAGTCATATACTGAGGTATCAGCTGACTAGTCAAGTTTGCCAACACTGTGTGTATGTCCCTCAGGGGGTCTCCCTGGCTGGACTCTTTTGTGTTAGGCATGTTTGGTTTTGGTAAAGAGGTGCAGCTGGTTGGTTGATGAGTTTGAGTTGACTTAAAATAAAAGGAAGAAGCAAAATATCAAACTAAGTGGGTTAATCGACTTAATTTATCAGTGCTTGATAAAGAGAAAGAGCCTATCTGAGTAGATCTCTAATGGAGAGAAAAATAACATAAAGTTAAATTCATTTCAATGAAAATTGAAAACAAAAGGTGAAATAATGTTAAATTAAATTTAACATCAGATACAGAACCATTGAATAAAGGGTTCAAATTGTCTCTGTGTTGCAGAGATCAGCAAAGCTTAAATAAAATGCCTGATGCAGTTGGATGAATTTGAAAAATCAATGAAATTGTCAATTTAAGGAATTAACTCTGAAGTCAATTCACAAATTGCAATAAATCCAAAGGTTCAACTACCAAATCCATCTGGAGTGTTAAAAGAAATTTCAAATATTAATTAATTTGTTCATTAATTAATTAATCTTATGAGGAGGGTTAATACATTCATGTATTATAGGGAACAGTAAAACTGCTCAATGGTGTGATAAGTAACAACAGGATCAGGTGATTGATTCAAGGAGTTACTTCATCAATACCTTATGGAGGCTCTTATAACAAAGATAAAAATCAAAAATCAATGATCAATGATTTAGAATAAGCACATCAAACTTCATCAACCAAGTCAATCACTTGAATTATGTCTGTAGAGTGTTACACACTGACTACAGGGAGGCAGTACAGCTGGCTGATACTGCAGGCAGATAATAGCAGTGTTAGCTCAATACCAAAAGCAACCATGTGGGGCAGTATGGAGTTGGGGTAACTGCACAAGCTCAACACAAGTGGAGAAGAAGAAGAAAAGAGGAAACAGTCATCCAACTAGCCTCTTGTGGCTGTGAGGAGTTGGGAAGTGTGCAAGGAAGGGGCCTTTAGGCTCTGCCTCCTTGAAGGGCCTTATCTGCTTAAGGCCAAATGGTCAATCTCTCCACTGACAACAAAGGGTTAACATTTCACAGCAGGCTGCGTCTGCACCCTCAAACATAGAACTTTACACCATCTGCTCAGGCCGATTGGTTCAATAAAATCATTTACAGGAACAAGGATCAAAGTGGCAAATCCTTAAACAGCAGATTCAACTGCAGACTTAAAAAAAATCACAAATGCGGCGATTTGTGATCACGGATTTTGTCTGAATTCATTCAAACAACAGCCTCCCACTGTTACAGTGGTTTCCTGTGACAGGTAGTTAATCTGTCAGGGGAAAGGAGGAAATCTGAATCCCATACTGTATAGTTACTAGAACTTCGTAGCAGACGATAGAGACAAGAATCAAAGTGACAAATCCCTCAACAGCAGATTCAACTGCAGACTTTAAAATCACAAATGTGGCGATTTGTGATCACAAATTTTGTCTGAATTCAATCAAACAACAACCTCCCACTGTTACAGTGGTTTCCTGTGACAGGTAGCTAATCTGTCAGGGGAAAGGAGGAAATCTGAATCCCATATAGTTACTAGAACCTCGTAGCAGACTACAGAGACTTCAGGGGCTTGAAACCACAGCTCGGAGCATCGCGAACACTGGGTTCAGCCAAAGGCCTTAAATACAAGCGTACGGCGACGCAACAATCGTGCACTTAAATATTGGACAGTCTAGACAGAGCAGAGGAGTCAGTCTCACTGCTACTCAGAACAACATTTCACGCTGTCCAGCTCAAACACAGACTACAGGCATGTAGTACAAAAGTGTGTGAAACACAGAGCATAAAGGTTTTATGCATAGATCAGGAAAACATCAGAACTTAGTCAAGCAACTTCAGCAAGCATAGCATTGATTGTGATTAAGTCTAAAATAGCCTGGAAATAAGTTTCTCTCATCAATTTGGAAGGCTAAGTTTTAGGTTGTCTGTTAGTATCCAGAAGTTTTGTTTGAAACGCCTCACACGGGGCACCAAAATATATGTAGTGATTTGAAATGAGCCTCACAAGGCCGCACCAAAATATATGTAGCGATTTGAAATGAGCCTCACAAGGCCGCACCAAAATAATACTTGGCGATTGGAATTTATAATAAATGTCTGAAGATTAATAATCTCAAATTATGACATTTATGCACTCGTTGAAAGGGGCACCACCCACCCTTAATGGTGGGAAAATAAAGAAAACAAAAGTTTAATTCAGAAATCAAACATCAAGTCAGTTTTAATTAATCAGTCTTAATTAATCAGTCTTAATTAATCAGTCTCATATCTTAAGTCGAAATTCTAATTTCAGGGACTCCACTTCTGGAAGAACACTAACAGACAGGAACTTAGAAAAATAATGATCTGTTTATTACAGGATAAATGATGGTACAACACACATGCAATAAATGATGATAAGATAATGAAGATAGATAATAATAGGTGAATAAATAAAGATTCTGAGTCAGGCTAGGAGCACTAAAGTTAATGATAGTGAGTGAATATGCGCTAACATATTAACCTACACTAACTTTGGTGTCGAGATAAACTCGAGTGTAGATTTGGAGGAATCTAAGATCACCAGAAATAGGTGGATATCTGAGTTATGAACGCGTGAGACAGCATCAGCCCTGTCTGGAGCTCTGGAGGTTTGCATACTTAAGTGAGACTGGTCCTTGGAGAAGATGGAGCAGGTTCCGAAGGTCCGGGGCTACTGGCGGTTCGAGCGGTTCAGCTCAGAAGACGACTGAAGTCAGCCGAAGGATGAGCCAGGAGTTGCAGCACTCGGGCCCGAAGCAAAGCCAGCGCCTGTGGATCCTGTGGATGCTCGTTTGGGTACTTCTTTGGTCTCACTCAAAAACTCTGGCACAGAGGATGACCTGGGCCTGCTGGGTTGCGTTCAGAGGTGACTTTTAAATCACGCAGAAAACTCAGAAAAACGAGGCTCGAAGAGCAGAGAAAACTTTCAAAAATGGCTTTGCAAAATTAAAGAAAAATCAATCAAAGGCTTAATCTTGAATTGCTATGCGCACAAAAAGTTGAAGTTTCAAAACTTGAACTAAGACGATGTTAAAGAAAAATCAACGTGAATCAACACGTGGCGTAAAACTTAGAAGACTAAGAAAAAGTTCTAAGAGAAAACAAAGAAACGCACCACAGAAGGGTGTGGACAGAAGAAAAGGGGCATAAGAGCCGGGGACAAGAGAGTCAGCAGAAGAGCAGAAGCATAAGAGAGGACAAGAGCATAAGAGGAATAAGAGAGAATAAGCGAGTGAGCAACCCCACTTCACTGGTTTTATCTTCTCACACTGGGTGTGTCTGAGGAGAAAGAGGAGGGGTCATCGGGTCTCTGATTATTTGATCTAACTTATTCTTTTGGCTGGTAAAAGAGTCAGATCTGATACTCACTCACTATGATTAATATCATTGAATGCTTGGTTTCATGATAAATAATTTGATACTAAACACATATGAATGAAGTGTAGGATCACATCAAACATTCTCATTATGTTTTAAGTATCACATTGAACATGCTAAATTACTCTGAAATGAAACAGATAGTAACACATAGAAACTGTGAACGACAAAAGAGTAAACACATGTGAATGAACGTCATCATGATTAATAATGGATTCTAAATACTCACATTCAGATTATTCAGTGACATTATAACCACCTAATGGTTAAGATACTAAATAAATAACTAAAATATAAACCAAACATTTCTAAACTATTTCTGTTACTTAGAGTAAACTTAGGATTCATAGTCAATAAATTTAACTCTTAAAAGTTCATGAAACAGTCTGAAAAGCTGTTGGTCTAAAGAACTAAAGAATAAGGATTTATTCTGTCAGATAAGATAACTTGGCTTCTGTAGCACATAGAAAAACGGGAAACATCTCATTTTAACACAAATTTCATGATTAGACAGATTAGTACATTGCTGAATGCATAAGATGTCATGATCAGTCATTTGTATTCTTTCACCAAAGGAATGCAGTCTTTATCAGTGTATGGTCGAGCAGGGTTTTACGACCGAGGTCTGGAGGTCAGTGTCCCCCCTTATCCTGGGGTCCGTATGTTCACACACTTTAAGACGCTTAATCTCAAATGGGAGATCTGGGTTAAGGTTAATGTTTATTTAGATGGTCAGCAAATGGAGTCAGTTTGAAAGGTAATAAAAACTCTGTCTCTGTTCGCCGAACTGACCAATCCTGAAGAGTCAGAGGTTTAGTCAACCTCCGGTTGGGTCACTTATTTAACCTGAAAGGGCAAACACGTCTGGAAAGATTTATATCCTGTTTCCTGGGACCAGATAAGGAAACTTTCCTGTAAGGAATGTGTGGGTTTCACATCCAGGGTTGTCTTGATTGCTACAGTCCCCCCTTCGTCACGGTGGTCCTGTCCATGGAGCATCGGGACGACGAGTAGACAACCATGAAGCAGCAGCAGGTGTATGCAAATAGGACTGATGCGTCTCGTCATCACTATGTGAATCACTAGTACTGCTTTGAGATAAAATTAAGCATGCATTAAGCTATCAAATAAAATAGTCTTGTTGTTAGACTTTTCTCAGTTAACTATTGGTAGACTAATGTGAAAGAAAATCTCCTAATTTTCAGTATTAATGAGATTTAGGAAAGCACTATTTAGTCTGAATGCTAACTGGATCTAAAGCTATAGCTGTTTTTCATGCTTGCTGGAGAAGTCTGAAAGTTCCATTTCAGTTTCAAAAATGGTTAAGACTTAGGTGGAAAAGAAATGTCTGCTATAGACATATTAACCATCTGTGTATGAGCATAGTCAACCTGAATCACAAACATCAAAAGTTTACTGCACAGAGTTTCTCTTAAACTTTGTCTGTTAAACTTGGGGATGATGCTCTTATTGGTTTGACTAATTATCTGCTGTTGAGTCTGAAATTTGTCAATCTGAGTCTTAGTGACAGAAATTTCAGGTTTTCATCTGTTCATGGGATATTTGACAGCTGACAAGCTGACCATATTGACAGAGGAGAGACAAATGCTAACAAAGAAAGCAGCAACTGGTATTGCAGTCATCAATGTATCACCACAGCATTTGGATATCTTATTGGAGTCATTTAGCTTTGGCTGGGTGACTTCTGCTTTCGCAGGACTCACACCTTCATGACTCCGCAGTGTTAATCTCAGTGGTTAGCTGAGTAGTCATGTTTATTCACCTTCAAAGTGGATGAAACCGATTGAGGTGGATAATAAGATCGTCGTTTCTGAGAGTGTGATTTACTCTGATTCTGCCAGTCATTCACCCCACTTTGGCGGTGTTGATGGTTTTTCCTTTGTCTGGGACAAAACCCACCGTGACGGGAGTCTGAATAACAACAGTTGGTCTCAAAGTTTACCTGGCGTTGGTCTGTGTCAGAACTGGGCCTTGGTGTGTAACTTTGACCTTTGTGAGTGTGTTGAGGTCGAAAAGGTTTTGGAGGCCTGGTTAACCACTCATTTGGAGGCTTATCGGAGCCTGAAAAAACACAGTCTGAAGCTTCGTTCAGCTCCATGGGCAGTGATTTTGTCCCCATAGCCAAGAGAGTAACGGGCTCTGCTTTCTTAGCCAAAGTTTGTCGTTGTTTGGCAAAACCTTTTACAGCAAGTTCACGAAGCTGTCGGCTAGTCAAAGTGTTTGGACAAGCTAAGACGCCAAGGTGATGACTGGTGGTAGGGTGGAGGTTCTGGACGAACAGCGTTTTGAAGTTCAAGTCCTCCTCCATTTCTGGTTCATTTCGGAAACCAAAGTAAGCTTCGCGTAAGCGGTTGTAATACTGTTGGGGAGATTCTGATCTCCCTTGTTTAATAGACAGAGCAGCAGAGAGGCCTGTCTGGGTCAAATAGTCAGAAAACTCTTCGATTAATGCTTGGCAGAGCAAGTCATAATTATTTCTGACATGATAAGGCTGTCGTTCAAGGAAACTGCTAACCTCTCGACTTGACGTCGCCTTAATAAGGTAGATTTTGTCATCAATGGTTGCACCTGGAAATTTCCTCAGGTAAAAGTCAATGTCTTTCAAGTAGGTGCAGGTGTCAATAGCACCTTGGTGCTCAGGTTCAAAGCGTGCTATGATGCGAGCAATTTTGTCAAGATCCCTGTCTGAGGGAAATGGTAAGAAGCCATCATGAGGAGGAGAGTAGGACTCTTGGTTTAAGGATAACCTCTCAGGGTCAAGCAGGGTCCTGTCATGATGCTGAGAGAGATACTTAAGAGTTGGTTTGGAAGGAAGTGATGGCGCTCTCTCAGGAGGCTGATCACCTATCATTTCTTCAAGAAACGTTTGCTTCATGCGTTCTCTTTGGGCTCGACCTGACTGGAGGGAGCATCGTAACTCTCTTTGGGCATCTTCAAGTTCTTTATCTGTCTTTTCTTGCCGTTCTTGACAAAGAATTAACTGTCTTTGAGCTATCTGGAGCTGGTGCTGTAAGGTAGAAGTTTGCTTCTCCTTAACTTCAAGAGCTTCAGCACGCACTTTGACCAGTGCTTTCAAAGCTTTTACATCTTCTGTTGCTTGCTCTAGTAGGGATTCTGACTGTATCAGATCCTCTGTGGTCTTAGCAAGCTGCTTATTCATGTCATCAAGTTCTTTCTCCTTTTTGTAAAGGGTTTCATTAAGTCTTTCAATCTTGTCTTTAAGATCAAGATTTTCTTCATGACTTATCAGTGAGGGAAGCTTTGACGCTTCACATCTGGCACTGTGTTTTTCTAAAACACTTAAAGACTTCTTAGTCTCCTCTAGCGTCTTTTTCAGAGCGCTGTTTTCATCTTTTTGCGCCTTTATCTTTGCTAAAGCGCATTCCAGCAAGTAGTCTTTATACTCAAGCTGAGAAGACATCATGACAGACATGCATCTAGTGAGCTCTTTGTCACGAAGTGTCGTGGTTAAGGCTGTTTCCAGTAAGTCAGCCATTTCATCCTCCGGATTGGAGGGTTTGGCCTTTTGAATCTTAGTCATGTACTGAGGTATCAACTGACTAGTCAAGTTTGCCAACACTGTGTGTATGTCCCTCAGGGGGTCTCCCTGGCTGGACTCTTTTGTGTTAGGCATGTTTGGTTTTGGTAAAGAGGTGCAGCTGGTTGGTTGATGAGTTTGAGTTGACTTAAAATAAAAGGAAGAAGCAAAATATCAAACTAAGTGGGTTAATCGACTTAATTTATCAGTGCTTGATAAAGAGAAAGAGCCTATCTGAGTAGATCTCTAATGGAGAGAAAAATAACATAAAGTTAAATTCATTTCAATGAAAATTGAAAACAAAAGGTGAAATAATGTTAAATTAAATTTAACATCAGATACAGAACCATTGAATAAAGGGTTCAGTTTGTCTCCGTGTTGCAGAGATCAGCAAAGCTTAAATAAAATGCCTGATGCAGTTGGATGAATTTGAAAAATCAATGAAATTGTCAATTTAAGGAATTAACTCTGAAGTCAATTCACAAATTGCAATAAATCCAAAGGTTCAACTACCAAATCCATCTGGAGTGTTAAAAGAAATTTCAAATATTAATTAATTTGTTCATTAATTAATTAATCTTATGAGGAGGGTTAATACATTCATGTATTATAGGGAACAGTAAAACTGCTCAATGGTGTGATAAGTAACAACAGGATCAGGTGATTGATTCAAGGAGTTACTTCATCAATACCTTATGGAGGCTCTTATAACAAAGATAAAAATCAAAAATCAATGATCAATGATTTAGAATAAGCACATCAAACTTCATCAACCAAGTCAATCACTTGAATTATGTCTGTAGAGTGTTACACACTGACTACAGGGAGGCAGTACAGCTGGCTGATACTGCAGGCAGATAATAGCAGTGTTAGCTCAATACCAAAAGCAACCATGTGGGGCAGTATGGAGTTGGGGTAACTGCACAAGCTCAACACAAGTGGAGAAGAAGAAGAAAAGAGGAAACAGTCATCCAACTAGCCTCTTGTGGCTGTGAGGAGTTGGGAAGTGTGCAGGAAGGGGCCTTTAGGCTCTGCCTCCTTGAAGGGCCTTATCTGCTTAAGGCCAAATGGTCAGTCTCTCCACTGACAACAAAGGGTTAACATTTCACAGCAGGCTGCGTCTGCACCCTCAAACATAGAACTTTACACCATCTGCTCAGGCCGATTGGTTCAATAAAATCATTTACAGGAACAAGGATCAAAGTGGCAAATCCTTAAACAGCAGATTCAACTGCAGACTTAAAAAAAAATCACAAATGCGGCGATTTGTGATCACGGATTTTGTCTGAATTCATTCAAACAACAGCCTCCCACTGTTACAGTGGTTTCCTGTGACAGGTAGTTAATCTGTCAGGGGAAAGGAGGAAATCTGAATCCCATACTGTATAGTTACTAGAACTTCGTAGCAGACGATAGAGACAAGAATCAAAGTGACAAATCCCTCAACAGCAGATTCAACTGCAGACTTTAAAATCACAAATGTGGCGATTTGTGATCACAAATTTTGTCTGAATTCAATCAAACAACAACCTCCCACTGTTACAGTGGTTTCCTGTGACAGGTAGCTAATCTGTCAGGGGAAAGGAGGAAATCTGAATCCCATATAGTTACTAGAACCTCGTAGCAGACTACAGAGACTTCAGGGGCTTGAAACCACAGCTCGGAGCATCGCGAACACTGGGTTCAGCCAAAGGCCTTAAATACAAGCGTACAGCGACGCAACAATCGTGCACTTAAATATTGGACAGTCTAGACAGAGCAGAGGAGTCAGTCTCACTGCTACTCAGAACAGCATTTCACGCTGTCCAGCTCAAACACAGACTACAGGCATGTAGTACAAAAGTGTGTGAAACACAGGGCATAAAGGTTTTATGCATAGATCAGGAAAACATCAGAACTTAGTCAAGCAACTTCAGCAAGCATAGCATTGATTGTGATTAAGTCTAAAATAGCCTGGAAATAAGTTTCTCTCATCAATTTGGAAGGCTAAGTTTTAGGTTGTCTGTTAGTATCCAGAAGTTTTGTTTGAAACGCCTCACACGGGGCACCAAAATATATGTAGTGATTTGAAATGAGCCTCACAAGGCCGCACCAAAATATATGTAGCGATTTGAAATGAGCCTCACAAGGCCGCACCAAAATAATACTTGGCGATTGGAATTTATAATAAATGTCTGAAGATTAATAATCTCAAATTATGACATTTATGCACTCGTTGAAAGGGGCACCACCCACCCTTAATGGTGGGAAAATAAAGAAAACAAAAGTTTAATTCAGAAATCAAACATCAAGTCAGTTTTAATTAATCAGTCTTAATTAATCAGTCTTAATTAATCAGTCTCATATCTTAAGTCGAAATTCTAATTTCAGGGACTCCACTTCTGGAAGAACACTAACAGACAGGAACTTAGAAAAATAATGATCTGTTTATTACAGGATAAATGATGGTACAACACACATGCAATAAATGATGATAAGATAATGAAGATAGATAATAATAGGTGAATAAATAAAGATTCTGAGTCAGGCTAGGAGCACTAAAGTTAATGATAGTGAGTGAATATGCGCTAACATATTAACCTACACTAACTTTGGTGTCGAGATAAACTCGAGTGTAGATTTGGAGGAATCTAAGATCACCAGAAATAGGTGGATATCTGAGTTATGAACGCGTGAGACAGCATCAGCCCTGTCTGGAGCTCTGGAGGTTTGCATACTTAAGTGAGACTGGTCCTTGGAGAAGATGGAGCAGGTTCCGAAGGTCCGGGGCTACTGGCGGTTCGAGCGGTTCAGCTCAGAAGACGACTGAAGTCAGCCGAAGGATGAGCCAGGAGTTGCAGCACTCGGGCCCGAAGCAAAGCCAGCGCCTGTGGATCCTGTGGATGCTCGTTTGGGTACTTCTTTGGTCTCACTCAAAAACTCTGGCACAGAGGATGACCTGGGCCTGCTGGGTTGCGTTCAGAGGTGACTTTTAAATCACGCAGAAAACTCAGAAAAACGAGGCTCGAAGAGCAGAGAAAACTTTCAAAAATGGCTTTGCGAAATTAAAGAAAAATCAATCAAAGGCTTAATCTTGAATTGCTATGCGCACAAAAAGTTGAAGTTTCAAAACTTGAACTAAGACGATGTTAAAGAAAAATCAACGTGAATCAACACGTGGCGTAAAACTTAGAAGACTAAGAAAAAGTTCTAAGAGAAAACAAAGAAACGCACCACAGAAGGGTGTGGACAGAAGAAAAGGGGCATAAGAGCCGGGGACAAGAGAGTCAGCAGAAGAGCAGAAGCATAAGAGAGGACAAGAGCATAAGAGGAATAAGAGAGAATAAGCGAGTGAGCAACCCCACTTCACTGGTTTTATCTTCTCACACTGGGTGTGTCTGAGGAGAAAGAGGAGGGGTCATCGGGTCTCTGATTATTTGATCTAACTTATTCTTTTGGCTGGTAAAAGAGTCAGATCTGATACTCACTCACTATGATTAATATCATTGAATGCTTGGTTTCATGATAAATAATTTGATACTAAACACATATGAATGAAGTGTAGGATCACATCAAACATTCTCATTATGTTTTAAGTATCACATTGAACATGCTAAATTACTCTGAAATGAAACAGATAGTAACACATAGAAACTGTGAACGACAAAAGAGTAAACACATGTGAATGAACGTCATCATGATTAATAATGGATTCTAAATACTCACATTCAGATTATTCAGTGACATTATAACCACCTAATGGTTAAGATACTAAATAAATAACTAAAATATAAACCAAACATTTCTAAACTATTTCTGTTACTTAGAGTAAACTTAGGATTCATAGTCAATAAATTTAACTCTTAAAAGTTCATGAAACAGTCTGAAAAGCTGTTGGTCTAAAGAACTAAAGAATAAGGATTTATTCTGTCAGATAAGATAACTTGGCTTCTGTAGCACATAGAAAAACGGGAAACATCTCATTTTAACACAAATTTCATGATTAGACAGATTAGTACATTGCTGAATGCATAAGATGTCATGATCAGTCATTTGTATTCTTTCACCAAAGGAATGCAGTCTTTATCAGTGTATGGTCGAGCAGGGTTTTACGACCGAGGTCTGGAGGTCAGTGTCCCCCCTTATCCTGGGGTCCGTATGTTCACACACTTTAAGACGCTTAATCTCAAATGGGAGATCTGGGTTAAGGTTAATGTTTATTTAGATGGTCAGCAAATGGAGTCAGTTTGAAAGGTAATAAAAACTCTGTCTCTGTTCGCCGAACTGACCAATCCTGAAGAGTCAGAGGTTTAGTCAACCTCCGGTTGGGTCACTTATTTAACCTGAAAGGGCAAACACGTCTGGAAAGATTTATATCCTGTTTCCTGGGACCAGATAAGGAAACTTTCCTGTAAGGAATGTGTGGGTTTCACATCCAGGGTTGTCTTGATTGCTACACCTTTGACCTTTGACCTGAACAACAGAAACCGCTGAGGTTATGTGGTTACAGAAGTGTGTTCACCCTTTAATAAGTGGGGGTGTGGCTTCGTTCAGATGTAACCAATCACATTCAAACACACCTGTTACCAGTTAAAGAGCCTCTGATCAGCTGTTGTCGAGGCGACCAAGAGGCCGACAGCAGCACTGAAGGAGCTGCTGCATGAGACGACGACCTCCTGCTGTCTTCATGTGTCTGGGCTGTGGGGTCAGGAGGTGAAGACCGAAACCTTATCTTATAAAGAACAACATCAGAGTCCAGATTAATTCAGCAGACAGACGTGGGAACATGTGTCATGGTCTGATGGAACCAACATCCCCAGAAGAAGAAGAAGACCACAGCGACAGTGAAGCATGGTGGTGGCAGCATCATGTTCTGGGCTGTTTCTCTTAGTCAGGGTGGAGGGAACTATGAACAGTTCCAGATACAGTCAGTGTTGGAACGAAACCTTCGACCTTCTGCTAGAAAGATGAAGATGAAGAGGAAGAGGAGCTTCATCTTTCAGCACGCCAACGACCCAAAACATCTAAACCATCAGAAGAACGGCTTCACCAGAATAAGACTGAAGTATTAAAGTATTTAAGGGTGTGAATATTTCTGAAAGCAGGTTAGTTTAACTTTCTCCTCCTTTAAAGGTTTCTGTTGTTCAGGTCAAAGGTCACATTTATCTCACTGTTATTTTCTTACATGACGATGACCTGTCAGTGTGGCGACTCCTCAGACCGTCTGTCGATGTCGGCGTTTATCTGGAAATTAAAACTGAAACTAAAACTTAGACTTCAGAGGAATCTACAGAGGTCCTCGTTCATCCGGGTCATGGTGACCCGGTTCTTAGTTGTCACAGTAACTGGACTTGATCAAGGCGTCCCCCCCCTCAGGTGAAAAGTCTCGGTCAAGTCCAGTTACCGTGTCGACCAAGTCCTGGACGCAGCCTCCTCTGCGGTCCTGAGGTCTGGCGGTCTTTGGAGATCCTGGACTCTGCAAGTCTGAGATCAGGAGGTTTATCAGTGAGTCCTGATCCGGTCAGAACCTCTTGAATAAATCTGGACCAGGTTTTTACAGGTTCAGAGTTTATTTCAAACTTTAAAACAAAAAAAACACAAAATCAAGTTCATTGATCAGTCTGTTCATTTAAACTCCTGTGAGAAACTCCATTTCCCATGATGCTTTGAGACCGGTCCTGCTTAAAGGTGAGAGTCTCTCCAGGATTCAGCATCTTAAGAGGCGGAGCTTCAGCGTCTTTAGAGGCGGAGCTTCAGCTCACCTTCTAACAGGTGAAACAGAACCAGAACAGTCTGTTCACCCCAGACCTGCAGGACCAGGACCAGGTCTAGGACTGAGACCAGGACCGGTCCTGCTCCCATCGGCCTGCTGGGGTTCGTGGTTTCGGACCAGATCAGACCGGTTCAGAGCGGCTCAGCGGGGCTGACCCAGAAGACCCGCTTTAGCAGCCAGAGCCTCGTTCTGCTGGATGTGGTACTCCTGGAACCGCATGGAGATCCGCTGAGTCATCTTCAGGTACTTCTGTAGGCAGGACTCCGAGCAGCTGGACTGGGGGGCGGGGCCAGGGGGCGGGGACACACACACACACACAGACACACACACAGACACACACACACACACACACACACACGCACACACACAGAGGAGTCATTTCTCTGTCGTGGTCGAACTCTTCAGGAAACTTGACTGAGAGACTTTAACTACAACTCCCAGGATGCCTTTCACCTCTAAACAGAGCAGCCATGTTAGTTTAAATCATGGTGGGCGTGTCTGAGGTTTAACCATCAGCAGTGGCGTGTTTACAGACCTGTCGTGGTAGGGGAAGGTCCCGCCCTCCTTCGCCTCTGATTGGCTAGAAGTGCTGGGCTCTGATTGGTTATTCCTCATGGCGGTGACGTCATCGTCTGTCGGGTTCGGGTTCAGAATTACGATAAAGTTCTGTTCGACGTTCAGAGCCGACGGCCCGCTCTCGGCTTGAGTGTGTGACGACGTTTCACAGCCAATCAGAGGCGAAGGAGGCGGGACTTTCCCCTACCATGTTCACTGGTCTGATGCTGGCGGGGGATTGGTCAGACAGCCAAGAGAAGTTGTGACATCATATGACATCATCAGGTCATTAAGCGAAACCTTTTCTCAGCATCATCACTCCTCCCCTCCTCCCGACAGCCAATCACAGCACGGCGAGGATTAAAGTTCGTGTGTCAGACGGTCCGGTCCAAAGTTCTGTTTCACTAGAACTTCGGACCCGACCGCCGTGACCGTCTCTAACTCTCTGATGATGATTCGCTCGTTTCCTCGCCGCCGCCATCGCTGCCTCTCTTTAATAATCCGCTGACTCAGGAGGTCCAGAGGTTCTGGTTCTCCTCAGACCGTCTTTACACGCCTCGTAGACCCGAACCCCCGACCCCTGAACCTGCTTCATCTCAAACTGATTATTGATTATTGATTAACGGTCGTCACTTCCTCAGCCTTCATGATCACTGATCATTGATAATTGATTAATGATCCTCACCTCCTCTTCTTAATGATCACTGATTATTGATTATTGATCCTCACCTCCTCGGCCTTCACCTCCCTGGTGGTGAAGTCTTTGACACAGTCCATGAAGCAGTTCTCCGTCACCTTGTTGTAGGTCCCCAAAAACTCCTTAAACTGAGAGACAGAGAGAGAGAGACGGTCAGAACCTTCAGAACCGGCTCAGACTTCAGTGATCGGATCAGAACACTCAGATGAAGACCTGGTACCTGTTTGATCTGGTCGGACTCGGACACCTGGAGAGCCATGAGTGAAGGTCAGCGTCTGTGAGAGGGTTAAAAACACAAAAACAACTTTAATATCAGTGAAGATAAAAGAGTTTAAAGTTTATTTAACGAACATGAAAAAACAGAAATTAACTCTTTATTCTGTTTTAGTGACTCTGAGGATCTCAGACTGACTCAATCATCAACAAACAGACTAAAAACGGAAAAAAGAGGCTCAGTTAAAGACTAAAAACGGAATTAAAAAGACTAAAAGACTCGTTTAAAGACCTAACTTTAACCCTTCAGTCTTCGGATTCCTTCATCAGTTAGCATTGTGAGCTAAGCTAACGGCTAACATCATTTGTCCCTCCGACCTCATTTTCGCGCCTTTTCTGTAAATGTGTTTAAATTAAATCCTTCCGATGATAATCTGGCGGATCGATAATAACAGTTGATCAGAAAAACGTCATTTAAAGGTGTAAAAGTCACCTGAGCGCGTGTCCAGAGGAGGAGAGAGTCTGCGGACTGAAGGACGAGAGAATCAGAGAGAGAAAGATCCGCAGATTCGAACATTTTAAACTTTATAAAAAATATTTTTTAAATAATAAATAAATTTAATCTATGATCAAAGAAACAAACAAACTTTAATAATATGAAATAAACTCCAGAGAACAACCCTAATAAGGTTTTAATAAACTGAAGGAACAGTTTGTCGAAAGTTCGTCTCAGAAACCAAAGGTCGATTAGTGCGCTACCAGACAGAGCGTCCGGAGTGATACAAGCGCCCTCCCACTTTAAGTTCCGCCTTGTAGACTGAAATGAACATTTTAAATAAAGAATCAGATTTTAGGGCAGCAGAACCCACCAGAACACCTCTGCACCGATAAACCGGTTAGATCCAGTTTTAAAGGAAACGTGTTTGATTTTGTTTACTTTAATCTCTGTGAACTTTGACTACAAACACGAGAGACCGCAGTTTACTCCGATTATTCGATTAAAACTGAGAGGAAATGTTTCAAACCGACAACAGGACAGAATAAAATCAACATGAAATCAATCAGTTTGATAATCAGATTACATCATTCTGATCGATCAAGATCAAATCCATGTTTCTCTTTATGAGGCGATGAACCGACTTTATTATGATCTTTTTAGACAGCAGGTGGCGCTGCTGCACCTTCACAGAGACAGACTGAGTCTGCGCCGTTTCTTTATCATCAAACATCTTTATTCCTCTGTAAAAATGTTTGTTTGTTTGTTTGTTTGTTTGACTTTGTTTTTTCTCTGTTTCTCTGTTTCGGTTCGTGGTTTTTCTTGATCCGGATCAGAGTGAGACTTCTGTCTTAGTGGACCAGAACCTCCAACACTTTTATCCTCACAGTTGGTCGAAGAAAATAAAGAAAAGACAAATACAATAAATGTCTCAGACAGTCTTTCCTCACTATAAAACCGAAGATCAGGGAGGTCTTCATGCAGACAGACATCATCTCATGTTCAAACCTCTTTTTCTCTTTGTTCGGGTCTCTGCTCGTGTCGGAGTCAGAGGGAATGGAAACGTTGACCTGTTCATAAAAACATAGACGCAGTGGTAACACTTAAAACACTTAAAAATACATTTATAATGACTGTGAACTCACTGATTCTGTGACACACAGAGGAGACAACAGTTCAGTCTGTAAGCTAGTATTCATATTAAAGTCATAAATGAAGGAGACTTTATTACTGTACAGAGTTAAACTCTAGAGCCTAATGAGTATAAATATATTTATTGATGTTTATTAGTATAAATCTGTTTTTCTTATTATTATTTCCATTGTCGCACTCCAGTCCAGCAGGTGGCGGTGATGCTCTTGAAGCTGGTTACCAACCGCCAATAAAACGAAGAAGAAGACCGGAACCCGGAAGTGCGTCAGTTTTGTTGTCAGCAACAGTTGCTGTTTTTAAACTGTTGTTGTTTTTTGTGGTTTTCCGTCTTTGCCCGTCTTTTCTCGGTATTTTCCGTCTATTATCGGTTAATACTCCCTGTTTCCGTCTGTTTCCGTCGTTATTCTCGGAGTTTGTCGGTTAATCGACTCCCAGGCTGACGGAGAGGCGGGAAGTTTGAACTGTTCGGTTGAAGGTTCGGATCGGACTCGGGATGTGGGCTCAGCCGGACTCTCCGCGGGCTCTCTTCAGTCCGGTTCGGTCCTCTTCCAGTTCGGACACCGGGGAGGTTCTGATCCGCTCCACCAGAGCCCAGGAAACAACAGGGTCCGGTTCGGTCCGGATCACCGTCCAGAAGCTGAAGGAGGTTCCGGTCCAGCCTCCTCTGTCCGAACAGCAGCAGTGGAGTTCCGGGAGAGAGGAGCGGCTGAAGCCCCGCGGGAGGCCGGAGAGAGAGGCTCCTGAGCGGGCAGGAGGTCCGACTCAGCCCGGTGAGAGTTCCGGGGATGTTCCGGGTCAAACTGTGACCCAGTCATATGGTTCAGGAGTATAGATGTAAATCAGATAGAATCTCACTGACTGAGACAGAGAATCAGATCCTGTAACTTTAGAGTGAATAAATATGACCCGGACCTTCATGACCCGGGTCAGTGAGAACCTCCACAGCCGGTATGAAACAGAATCAGGACCCCAGAGACCGGGTTCAGGTTCGGGTTCAGGTTCAGGTTCGGGTTCAAGTGAAGAAGAAGAGTTTTTATCGTTATTCTGTTTAAAGGAAAGAAAATGATGAAATTTATGGGGAAAGTTTTTCAGTAAGAACTGTGTGTGTGTGTGTGTGTGTGTGTGTGTGTGTGTGTGTGTGTGTGTCTGTGTGTGTGTGTGTGTGTGTGTGTGTGTGTGTGTGTGTGTGTGTCTGTGTCTGTGTGCAGACAGACAGACTCTACACAAACCTGGACCGACCAAAGAGAACAGAGAGCCCAGCAGAACTGTGAGTCCTTTGAACTTTAACCTCTCGTTAGTGAAGCAGCATCATCATGTTTCCATGGTAACGGCTCCTCCCTCAGGTGTTCACCTGTCACAGTGACCTTTAGACTGACCTCTCAGGTGAACTCCAGGTCGACCTGATCGTCTGTTTGTCCTTCAGACGCCGTCTGCGGCAGAGACTCGTCCTCACAGGACGCCGTCTGCGGCTCAGGACGTCCTGACGTCACGGTTTGATGCTGGAGGTCGAGACGCCATGCTCGCCGCTCTAAAACAGCGGTGAGAAACAGGAGAGAAAACTAAACCATGGAGGTTTTAATCAGAAGAGACGAACTGTTGAATATTCTGATGATCATGAACATGATTATTGACGTTTGTATGAATATTTTTGTTATTATTATTATGATGATGATCTCTATTATTAATATTATTACGTTTCCTATTATTATTGAAATTATTATCTTTCATATTATTGTCATTATTATTGTTATCAATATTATTGATATTATTGTCATTTTATTTTATTATAATTATTAAAATTCTTATAATTATTGTTAGAATTGGTGTTTTTCGTCTTCCTTCAGCGTCTCGTTGAGGTGAATTTAAACCGTCTCTCACTCTTTAAACTCGTTTTACCGAACCCTTCTGTCTCTCTGATGCTCAGCTCTCACAGCGCCCCCCACAGGAGGGAGGTCAAAGTCCAGCTTTTGGACCCAGGACTGCTTCAGACCAGCTCCCAGGGTGATCCAGTCCCAACGACCGGCTCCCAAGATGCAGTGGGTGTGTCAGGAGTCCAGATGGAGGCGGGGCTTCCCTCTGGTTCCCCGGGTGATGCCTCAGTCACAGCAGCTGCTGTTCCTCTCTTCAGGGTGAGCGGATCTCAAAGTTCTGCTCCTGTAGAGTCCAGGAAGACCGCCACACTGTGACATCACTGTTAGAGGCGGAGCACAGCTGATACACTCTGTGTGTGTGTGTGTGTGTGTGTGTGTGTGTGTGTGTGTGTGTGTGTGTGTGTGTGCAGGCTCAGTCACACCTGGAGGCTCGTGTGTGTCGTCTGGCTGATGGCGTGGAGAAGCTGCTGCAGGCTGACAGGTAAACTCAGACAGGTGTGGGCGGGGCCTGAGCAGGAAGTCTCTGTGTGGAGTAGCTCTGAATCTGATTGGCTTTGACATCACTGTGACATCACTGTCTGCGCTTTCATCAGGGAGGGCGGGGACAGAGGGCGGAGCCTGACTCTGCATCACCTGGAGAAGCTGCACAGCCAACAGCTGCAGTTTCAGGTAACCAATCACCTTTTCACCTCCTGATGACATCACTGTCTGTCTGAATGCTCATTGGCTGTCCTCAAAGAACAGACATGTGTTCAGTAACAGACGCTCTAAAGTCTCTGTGTCCCTAACCCCTCTATGGGGGTTAGGGATTCATTTAGGACGCAGCCTCTGTCTGTGACTCTGTCTGTAACTCTGTCTGTAACTCTGTGTCTGTAACTCTGTCTGTAACTCTGTCTGTGTCTGTGTACCTGTCAGGGTCAGCTGCTGGACTCTGCATTTAAGATGGTGACAGGACACACCTTTTTGACCTCTGACCCCACAGCTTCAGGCCAGCCAACCTGTCTGCAGGTCACACACCTGGAGCCTGCAGGTACACTCTTACACGCACACACACACACACACACACACACACACACACACACACACACACACACACACACACAGTTGTCAATAGCTGTCAATAATGTCTGCAGGTGTTCACAGACAGTCAGCTGATGTGACCAGCAGGTGGCAGCAAGTGTCTCTGACACACTCACTCACAGGTCTGTGTTTAGATGTGCTGTTACCATGGAAACACCCGTCTCTAATCCACACTGCTGCAGCAGAACACATCAGCAGTGTGTGTGTGTGTGTGTGTGTGTGTGTGTGTGTGTGTGTGTGTGTGTGTGTGGGGGGCGATGGAGACAGCGTTGCCACGGTAACCAGGCTGTCAGCATTGCTCTGCTGTTCTTCGCCTTTTCTCTTGTGTGTGTGTGACCTTTGACCTCTGAGGTTATTATGGGCTGTCAGGAGCAGACTGGACTCTGATGGAGTTTTCATCTGCTCCACCCTGAAGACCAGATTCTGGACTACGGCTGGACCACACCCACACAGACTAGGGGGGGCGGGTGTCTGGACCTGGATTCAGGACCTCCTGACCCACCGTCCCCAGACAGTCGGGCTCAGACCTCTCAATACCGGCCCCCCTCACAGAGAAGGGAGGTGGGCCCTGGGACAGAACCTGTGAGACTGAGTGAAGAAGAGGATGACCATGACCTCTGACCTTCGCTTCTGTGTGTGGAGGGCGGGGCTTTGAGCGTGGAAGATGATTGGTGAACTCATCATCTGCTGACCTCCGACCTCTCCTGGGACTTCCTGACTACATCTATGTGTGTGCGTGTGTGTGTGTATCACCGCAGCTCATTGCCCCCCCCCTTTGTTTCTCCCCCTCAGAGACCCTCGTCAGCAGTCAGCAGACCTCCTCAGCAACCAGAGCTGCCACCACTGTGGAGACGGGATCAGTTGCCATGACAACATCCTGCAATGACCGACAGACAGATCAAACCAGGTGAAGGGGGGGGGGGGCAGACTGATCAATCCTTATTGTTTCTATAATCAATAATCAATCAGTCAATAAATATCCAAACATCATAAAACCAGAAACATCGATCAAGATCAACGATCAGCTTCTATTTGAGTCACATGATTGGCTGGAAATCACATATATGACATATACATTTGTTTCCATGTTTACATGTTTACATTTAAATTACAGTCACATGATTCTTCTGCAAGAACAGCAGATCCTACTGACATTCTAGAACCATTACATCATCTACAATCATCACACATGATGTCATAATGTCACATTATGACATCATGTGTTATGTCATAATGCCACATTCTAGAATGTGACATTTGAGGCTGTGATTGGCTGAAAGTCTTTGAGGCTGTGATTGGCTGTTTACTAAAATCTTTAGCTGCAGAAATGTCGACCTCCACAGTCAGGAAGCTGTGAGTGAGTGAGGTAGTTAGTTTGTGAGCGTTGATTGATTAGTCATTTAGTTAGCTTTTTGTTAGTTAATTAGTAGGTTAGTTTGTTAGTCGGTTAGTTGGATAGTCATCCTCTTAACTAGTATGTTAGTTAGTTAGTTAGTTAGTTAGTTAGTTAGTTATTTCATAAATGCTTCATTATTAGAAAAATATAAAACACACAAAACTCTCCGACTTCGATCTCAGCTGCTGTTTTAACATCATTGAATAAATCTCAGCCTGATGCAGTTCTGTGTGTGTGTGTGTGTGTGTGTGTGTGCGCGCACGTGTGTGTGTGTGTGTGCAGTTATATTTGCATAATCATTCAGAGTCTGGAGCGATCACGGCTGCAGCTTTAATGTCTTCCCTCCCCTCCCCCTCTGCTCCTCCTCACCCCCTCCTGACGGAGGAGAGGAGGAGGTTTCCATGACAACACAGACACTATCCATCAGCAGATCTGTGTGTGTGTGTGTGTGTGTGTGTGTGTGTAAGACAGGTTTGATGTCAGTGAATAACTTTGATATTTTTTACCCAGAATGCATCAGTTTGATGTTTTGAACCTGGTCCTGTCTGAGGATGTCAGGGGTGCTCTGACATCACTCAGGTGAGGAGGTCTCTGTAGGACCGTCAGGACCGTCAGGACCGTTACCGGTCTGTCTGAGGTCTCCTCTGTCTGCATGAACCAAAACTCAAACCATCAGCCCTTCATAACCCCCCCCCATGAATGAATGAATGAATGAATGAATGAATGAATGAACCCCCACACAGACCTCAGGGACCTTCATCAGGACTCTCAGTAAAACCCGGGCCGAGGTTCAAGTCCAGCTGGAGCAGAGAGAGACCAGGTTTACCTGAAGACACAGAGAGTCAGGAGAGGGGCGATCGAGCATCACTGTACAGAGAGAGAGAGAGAGAGAGAGAGAGAGAGAGAGAGAGAGAGAGAGAGAGAGAGAGAGAGAGAGAGAGAGAGAGAGAGAGAGAGAGAGAGAGAGAGAGAGAGAGAGAGAGAGAGTGAGAGAGAGAGAGAGAGAGAGAGAGAGAGGGAGAGAGAGAGAGAGAGAGAGAGAGAGGAGGAGAGAGAGAGAGAGAGAGAGAGAGAGAGAGAGAGAGAGAGAGAGAGAGAGAGAGAGAGAGAGAGAGAGAGAGAGAGAGAGAGAGAGAGAGAGAGAGAGAGAGAGAGAGAGAGAGAGAGAGAGAGAGAGAGAGAGAGAGAGAGAGAGAGAGAGAGAGAGAGAGAGAGAGAGAGAGAGAGAGAGAGAGGAGAGAGAGAGAGAGAGAGAGAGAGAGAGAGAGAGAGAGAGAGAGAGAGAGAGAGAGAGAGAGAGAGAGAGAGAGAGAGAGAGAGAGAGAGAGAGAGAGAGAGAGAGAGAGGGAGAGAGAGGGAGAGAGGGAGAGAGAGAGAGGGAGAGGAAACCTGCCTAGCAACACACACACACTGAGAGACAGAGATGTGTGTGTGTGTGTGTGTGTGTGTGTGTGTGTGTGTGTGTTTATTACCTGCTGGTTGTTGAAAAGGTTGAAGGTCAATCAGGACTCACTGGTCATGTGACCTTCAGAGCGATGATGATGATGATTAAAGATAATGTTGATAATTATTGATCAGAGTGTGATCAGCTGATATCAGAGGTGTGATTATTGATCAGTTTGATCAGAAACTCTGTCACTCAGTGACGTCATCAGGTACAGGTGAAACTTTATTGACAACAAAAGGCAGAAACAGCCGAGTGACGATTCCTCTGAATATGAGAGCGGTTCTGATCGGATCCAGAACCATCCGGACCGAACCTGATCAGAACACAGAGGTAATACAGGAGGAGTGTGTGTGTGTGTGTGTGTGTGTGTGTGTGTGTGTTTGGGGTGACGTCATGTGTTGGGGGGGTGATCTGAATTCCTGAGCTGCTGTCGGATCGTTTCAAACAGGGAGAGACGCGCGCGCACCCCCCCCCCACACACACACACACACACACACACACCTCCCCCCTCTCTGCTGCAGCGGCGGAGCTCGCGCGCAGCTGCAGCGGGAGGAGAACAATAAGCGGAGAGGAGCAGAGAGGAGGAGCAGAGGAGATCTCAGTCCGTCTCTCCGGTTCTTTCCTCCGTTCGGACCGGGTCAGGCAGGGCGGGTTCGGGTTCTGCCGGGACCATGTCGTCCCCGCAGGTCTCGTCGTCCCGCAGACAGTCCTGTTATCTGTGCGACCTGCCCCGCATGCCCTGGGCCATGATCTGGGACTTCACCGAACCGGTCTGCCGCGGCTGCGTCAACTACGAAGGAGCGGACCGGATCGAGTTCGTCATCGAGACCGCCCGGCACCTGAAGCGGGTCCACGGCTTCCAGGAGGGCAGACCCCCTACCGGAGGACCCCCTCCTCCTCCTCCTCAGCAGCCCCCCCTGATGAAGAACCAGCCGGTCTGTCTGAAGGATCCGGGACCGCAGCACAACCACCATCCGGACGGACCGGGGAAGTCCCAGCAGCCCGGTTTGGACCGGTACTCTCTCAGCGGGGACAGCCGGGCTCGGTTCGACTACAGCGGACCCAGCAGCAGGATGACGAACGGGTTCAAACCGGAGGAGGGCCCCCCCGAACTGAACCGACAGAGCCCGAACTCCCGCAGCAGGACCCACGCGGGGCTGGTACCGGCCTCGGGACAGATGACCGTCCCACCGAACCTGCTCCCTCAGACCCTGCTGAACGGACCGGGTCCTCACGGTCTGCCGGGCAGAGCCGAACCCGGGGGGAAGCGGCCCGCCTCCGCGTCCAGTTCGGACCAGGAGCGGGACCTGAAGGAGAAACAGCGGAACGTGGAGGTTCTGTCCGAACTCAGCGAGAGCCTCCGGAACCGACAGGAGGAGTGGGCCAGCAGACCCAAACCGGTCCGGGAGACCCTGGTCCTCCTGTCCGGATGTACCCCCTTTGACGTCCGCTTTAAGAAGGACCACGCGCTGGTGGGTCGGGTCTTCGCCTTCGACGCCGTGTCCAAACCGGGTCTGGAGCACGAGCTCAAGATCTTCATCGAGTACCCGAGCGGGTCCGGAACCGTGTTCTCGAGCGCGTCCGGGGTGGCCAAGCAGATGTACCAGGACTGCATGAAGGACTTCGGGAGGGGGCTGTCGTCCGGGTTCAAGTACCTGGAGTACGAGAAGAAGTCCGGGTCCGGGGACTGGAGGCTCCTGGGGGACCTGCTCCCGGAGTCCCTGCGGTTCTTTAGGGAGGGGGCGGAGCCGGACATGCTCCCCCAGCCGCACGTGGACGGAAGTTTCCCGCTCCTGCCCACCTCCCTGCTGCTCCCGGGCCGGACCCTGGCCTCAGGGAGCGGGGGGGTCGGCGGGTCCAGGACCGGGCTGAGGAAGAGGAAGGCGTCCCCGGAACCGGACTGTGAGGAGCGGGGACAGACCTGGATCAGCGGACCCCCCCCTCCGCTCGGACACCCCGGCCTCCCCTCCGGCAGGACCACCCCCCCGGAGTCCTCGGGCCCCCCGCAGAGCGGACAGTCCCCCATGGCCGCGCTCATGTCGGTGGCGGACACGCTCGTGAACGCGCACTCCCCGAACAAGGACCGGGACTCGGTCCAGTCCAGCACCTCGTCCTCCAGACACACCAGCAGCAGCCCCGTGTCCCCCCCCTCAGTGTCCGGACAGAGGCGCCTCTCCTCCCGCAACGGGGACCCGCCACAGTCCGCGGGAGGGGGCGTAGAGGCGGCGCATGCGCAGAGCGTGTCGGACTCCCCCATGGCCAACAGCGGCCCCCTCTGCTGCACCATCTGTCACGAGCGGCTCGAGGACACCCACTTCGTCCAGTGCCCGTCGGTACCGGGTCACAAGTTCTGCTTCCCGTGTTCCAGAGAGAGCATCAAGGCCCAGGGGGGGTCCGGGGAGGTCTACTGCCCCTCCGGGGACAAGTGCCCGCTGGTCGGATCCAACGTCCCCTGGGCCTTCATGCAGGGGGAGATAGCGACCATCCTGGCGGGGGACGTGAAGGTGAAGAAGGAGAGGGACCCCTGAGGGGGGGGAGACTCCTGAGGGGGCGAGAGAGGAGGAGAGGAGGAGAGGGACCCCTGAGGGGGGAGGGGGACTCCTGAGGGGGGAGAGAGGAGGAGAGGGACCCCTAAGGGGGGAGGGGGGGGAGAGAGGAGGAGAGGGACCCCTGAGGGGGGGAGAGAGGAGGAGAGGAGGAGAGTCTTCTTCTGTATCTGAGAGAGAGTCTGTGAGAGGAGGGGGGGTTGATGAGTCAGCAGTTTTCTGTGTGTGAGTTCTGCTGAGTTCTGCTGAGTCAGCGGTTTACTCAGACTGTGGATCAGAACTCTCCTGTCAGTCCAGACCTGATACCGAGCCTCGGTGCCGGTACCAGAGACTATCAGCTGACTGTAGAGACAAACAGGGGGGGGGGTTATCAGGGTTCAGGTCCAGAACAGTCAGAACCTCACTGTGAGTCCAGTCTGACTGCGAGGTCTGATGACCTGTGAGTCTGGACCCCCCCAGCCTGTAGACCAGATCTTCCCACTGAGCAGCAGACTAGATCTAATCTCAACATCTAGATTCAGTTTATCTGTAAACAGAATTCAGACGATTATTGGATAATTATTTATTTTTAAAAAGTATCTGTGAGTTTAAAACTGATCTAAAGGACTGAAGTAACGATGATGAACAGCTGTTAGAGTCTGAACTCGGTCTGAAAACTCTCATCTTTAGACCTGTTCTGACCTGATCTTAGACAGACATCTAGACTACATCTGAACATCTATCAGACCCAGAAATGCTCAGTTCAGATGTTCCTCCTCAGATCAGTGATTACCGTATTGACCTGAAGAGAGGAGCAGCTACACTTTACAGGTCAGCTGATCACAGATACAGCCTCTGATTGGTCAGAAGTAAGATGTCAGCTGATAACCTCAATAATGTGACCTGATCTAAACTGACTCTCAGAGCGTCATCAATATAATTATTGATTAATATCATGTTATTGATTATCAGATGATGACATTCTGGTCAAAACTAGATCAGGAAACAGATGATTGAGTCAGAGAGACAGAAAACAATAACGAGAGAACAGCTGATCGGGACGACATGATAACGATCAGCTGATCAGGATCCGGTTTGATGGTAGAGTCCGTGTTTGTTCAGGTCAGAACATCAGAGAGTCTGATCTCTCCACTGACAGAGGATTCACTGTTAGCTCTGTCTCTCTCTCTCCCTCTCTCTCTCTCTCTCTCTCTCTCTCTCTCTCCCTCTCTCTCTCTGTCTGTCTCTCTCTCTCTCTCTCGCTCTCTCTCACCCCTCTCTCTCTCGGCGCCCCCTGGAGGTGGAGGTTTAAATATTCTTCATGTTTCTGAAGTTGTCGTGGTGGTGTTGGTGGTGAAGCTGACGGAGGTGTGATGATGTTTGAACAGACGGACTCTCAGACTCCATCATCACACCGTGTGTGTGTGTGTGCGTGTGTGTGTGTGTGTGTGTGTGTGTGTGTGTGTGTGTGTGTGTGTGTGTGTGTGTGTGAGTGTGTGTGTCCACAGCTGTTTTTATACCTGTTTCTAACTCTTTCTTCTTTCATTGAGAATATTTGAAATCTTTCAGGAATGTACTCTGAGTGATTTTTTTATCATTTCAAACCTTCAGTTTTTTATTTTCTTACTGCAATAAACGAGTTTTTTCACGAGTTGATTCAGTCGATCAGTTTGTTTTCTTTGTGTTTCTGTTTCTATGGTAACAGGTTAAACTGATCAAACATGGTGTAACGTGCCTTGGAGCTGCCTCAGTTGTAATAAAACTCATTGATATGAACCTTCGCAGTCATGTGACCTTCTTCAGGAGTTTCTCTTCAGCTCAGGTGTGCAGCTGCAGGTCTGTTTGTATCGACGTGGCTCCGCCCACTTCAGCTCAGTCAGGGCTGACAAACATCATCACTGTATGAGTTGTTGCTCCAGTCAGCGCCCCCTGCTGTCCAGCATCAGTCTGTGTTTGTCTGTGTTTGTCTGTGTTTGTCTGTGTTTGTCTGTTGTCTCTCACTCTCCGTTCATTCAGTCGTACCCGGACGTCTCTGCGCTCCGGCGTTGACCATGACTGTCACACAGTAATAGTGACTTCCTCCATGATGGCGGTCCTTCCTTTCAGCTCGTTTACATGCGTCAGACCAGAGAAGAAGAAGAAGAAGAAGAAGATACACATATATAAACACACACATATATACACATGTGTGTGTTTTTATATATGTATATAGTGTTTATGTACAGCTGTACTGTAGTACTTGTACTCTCTTGTTTTTGGTTTCTTGCTGCATTGCAGTTTTTCGTCCACCAATACACACACACACACACACACACCTGGTCTGGTAGTGTGTGTGTGTGTGTGTGTGTGTGTGTGTGTACATTTGCATGCACACAGTGAGCCGCAGCGCTGAGCCAAGGGCACCTTACCGATCACTGTCCACACACACACACACACACACACACACACACACACACACACACACACACACTGTGGGGCTCCAGGGTGTTTCTATGGAGTCTGCACACGAACAGAGTCCTCTGAGTGTGTGTGTGTGTGTGTGTGTGTGTGTTTGTGTGTGTGTGTTTGTGTGTTTGTGTGTGTGTTTTTTTACCCCTGCAGTCTGTTTCCACCCTCCCCTGAGCAGGATGCGGTGGTTACCGTGGTTACCGTGGTAACAGCCTCCTGGTCGAGGAAACAAAGAGATTTTAAAGATCACAGTCAGACGGTCAGGAGAAAACACGCCGTCCTGTCGGCGTTGACCGAGGATCAGCTGACCTGCAGCTGACGAGGTCACAGATCTGTGTGTGTGTGTGTGTGTGTGTGTGTGTGTCTGTGTGTGTGTGTGTGTGTGGGTGTGTCTTTTTTTAGACGATGATGTCAGCAATATATTACACCCCCCCACCCCCTCATGTTCTTCTCTGCGTCTGATTGGTGGATCCAAAGACACGCCAACCTGAGCCCTGAGGAGACCAGGTCCAGCTCCAGGTCCAGATCACCTGATTGGCCTTCAGTTGTTGATTGATTAGCTGATTAATAAACTGATCAGCTGATTGACCCCCCCACACACACACACACACTCTCATCAGGAATCACGCTCTCCTCTGTTGCTATGGGAGCCACTGAGCTGTTGCTTAGCAACAGCAGCAGCAGAGTCGGTCTGTAGCAGGGGTGTCTGTGACTGACACAGGGGGGGTTATGGAGTCGACCATTTTGTCTCCGCCCGTCTCTGCAGAGCGGATCCTCAGAGTCCGGATCCTGAAGACGGACCACTGAGACCCTGATCAGAGACCACCACACAGACCGACAGGGCCCCTGAACTGGGACTGAGGTTTAGGTGGTCTGAAGGTCAGCAGGTTCAGGGACACCTGTAGACCAGGTTCTCTCCTGGAGTCTGTGATGATGTTTCCTGTTTGTGTCTCTGAGGGTCAAGAAGGTCCTTCTAGAGGACCAGTCCCAGGTCTCAGGGACAGCAGGGACTCCGGTCCTGCTGGTTCTGGTCTTTGTTGAAAAAGAAGTCTGGACAGACCAGACCAACAGAGACTAGAGAGGAGGAGCAGGAGGACCAGTGGGAACATGGACTTGAGTTGGTCTGGTTGACTTTGTGGTCTTGAGTTGGTCTGGTCAACCCCTTGGTCCTGAGTCACCCGGTCTTTCATGGATCCAGACCTTCAGTCCATATTTCAGGTTCCGTTCTTTCCAGAAGGCTCAGGTCTTAACGGTTCCCTGATCAGGGATGCTGGACTCTGGCGGTCCCGGGCCAATATTTAGACCCGCCCCCTTATTTCAGATCTAGTCTGATGGTCTGGTGAGGGTACCATTCTGACATAGTCCCCCCTTAGTCCACCTTGACCCGGACTGCAGGTCTCTTGGGACCAGGACCGGTTTCCTGGTCCACAAAGACCTGGTCCTGTTAGTTCCAGGAACCTTTGAGGTGCTGCTGACTCTGCGGTTCTGTTTCTGGTTTCAGGGACCGTCGACATCAAAGAGGTCTTCACTCTGTTTCCACGGCAACCAGGCCAACTGTAAATACTCCCCTGCAGTTATCAGCCAATCACAGCAGGGCGGCAGCCGGGAGAGCCAATGAGACGTCGAGGGAGGCGGGACGTTCGAGGAAGGTGAGTTTGAGTCCCCCCTGAAGACCCTGAGACCGGTTCACCTGTGCAGGTGTCAGTGTGAGGAAAGGGGGCGGGGCTTCACACTGTTTTATCTGTTTCAGGAAGAGGACTCTCTGAAGACCGCCAAAACTGGACCAGACCCCCATGAGACCCAACAGAACCAGCCTCAACTGAACCCCCTACAGTCCCAGTCCAAACCAGTCCATTACCAACAAGACCTGAACCTACCACCCCAGTCCAGTTCCCAACAATCCCGACCCCAGACCCAGTTTACTGTTCAGAACCCTGAGACCCAACAAGTCCAGTCCAATCCAATTCCAGTTCAGCAAACCCAGTCCCAACCAGTCCTCCCCCAGTCCCAGACCCAACAGTCCAGGTCTCAACAAACTGGACCCCGACAAAACCAGTTCACATCCCAACAAACCCCGCCCCAGCCAGTCCAGTCCAAACCAAACCCAACCCATCAGAACCACTTACAGCCCCTCCAGTCTGACCCCCAACAAACCCAGTCCAGAACCCTGCCGTCCTCATCACACCAGACCGGACCCCAACAAAACCAGTCTCACTCCCATCTTCAGACCCATCAGTCCATACCGGTCCAGAGAAGACCTGTGATCTGGTCCACGTTAGACGAGGCAGGTCAGGTCCTCCGTCAGGTCCGGAAACAGAAAAAGGTCTTGGAGGAAAACCTGGGGGCTCTGCTGAGAACCAGAACCGGAGAGGTTCTGAACTGCCAGCTGGAGGCGCTAGCCGCTAACAGGTAACTAATGCTAATGCTAATGCTAACACCAGCTGATGACCTCATGTTACCAACGAAGAAGACCGGTCTGAGTCTGTGTCCTCCACAGGGACTGGACTGAGGAGGTCCGGATCAAGAAGACGGTGGACGCCTGGATCAGAACCCTGTCCAAGGACATCCAGGTGAGCTGAGAGCAGGTCCAGGTTCTGGTTCAGGTCCTGAACACCTGTTCATGGGGTCTACCCCTCACAGTCCAGACCGGATCCAGATCCAGGTCCTCAGTCCTAGAACTTCAGGTCTTACTTTTAAAACCAGACCACACCTCCTTCCTTAGAGGAGGTGTCAGTGCTCCTCCTCTGACTCCTCCATCTAAGTCCTGGAGCTGAGTGAGGAGCCCCTGGAATTCAAGGACCATCCTTGAAAATCATGGAAAAGGCCTGGAAAGTAAAAGAGGAGAAGAAGGTTTCATTCAACCTCCTCCTCTTTTCTTACTCTCCTCCTCCTCCTTCCTCCCCCTCTCCTTCTCTCCTCCCCCTTCTCCTCCCCCTCTCCTCCTCCTCCTTCCTCCCCCTCTCCTCCTCTCCTCCTCCTTCTCCTCCTCTCCTCCTTCTCCTCTTCCTTCTCCTCTCTCTTTTACCCCCCCCCCCCCCCAGGATGAGATAAGCGTGGAGAAGGTCGCCCCCTGCAGGTCAGCGGATGCGGTCTCCACCCGCCCACATAGCCAAACCCCTGCAGTGACATCACAGCGAGCTGCCGGTGCAAGCTCCGCCCACTCAGGCAGGGGGAGACCACTGGGCACGCTCAGAGGAACCACGAGTAAGACGGCGAGAGGAAGAGGAAGCAGAGGACAGACGGGGGGACAGGTCAGACTGCGCTTTCCTCTGATTGGTCGGTTTACACTGTGACATTTGATGATGTCGCTGACTGCCTCTGTGTGCAGGTACAGTGGGCGGAGCCTGTCGGAGCTGCAGGTAGGCTGTCAAACAGGACACAGGTCGAGGACGAGTCGTACCTGGCACACCTGTACGGCAGAGCTCTGTATGAAGGCAGCAGACGAACCCTGAAGAAGAGCCCATACCTGCGTCTGAGTTCACCTGTCTCACCTGTCAGCAGGAAGCTCCGCCCCCGTGTGGTGGAGAGTGTCAGAGGTAGAGCGTTTCTGTTTGATGTGAACCCCGACCCTCACACCTGAACCTGCAGGTGAGTCTGTGTTTTTGTTTTCATCTCAGGTGTGAAGGTGAAGTCATGTAAGACTCAGACCTGTTTGGCCCCGCCCCCTGCCCTGTTACCTGGACGGCTGCAGCGTAATGACCATATGACCTCTGGTGACCCCGATGACCACAGAGTGACCGCAACAGACGGCCAGTCTGTTCCCATGGCGATCCCCCTGGGTCAGTAATAAACAAACATGTGGAGTTTAAAACATAAACAAAGATCAGCTGATCGACATAAACAAAGATCAGCTGATCGACATTAACAAGGATCAGCTGATCGACATAAACAAAGATCAGCTGATCGACATTAACAAGGATCAGCTGATCGACATAAACAAAGATCAGCTGATCGACATAAACAAGGATCAGCTGATCGACATAAACAAGGATCAGCTGATCGACATTAACAAGGATCAGCTGATCGACATAAACAAAGATCAGCTGATCGACATAAACAAGGATCAGCTGATCGACATAAACAAAGATCAGCTGATCGACATAAACAAGGATCAGCTGATCGACATAAACAAGGATCAGCTGATCGACATAAACAAGGATCAGCTGATCGACATAAACAAAGATCAGCTGATCGACATAAACAAGGATCAGCTGATCGACATAAACAAGGATCAGCTGATTGAGGATGACGTGAATCTGACACCTTTACCTGTAAAAACTCTGAACATCATGGACTAATGTTGCCCCGCCCCCTTAGGTCGTCCCAGGATGGACTCCTCCTCCAGATGTCTTTATGATCGTCAACAGGAAGTGACATCACCACCCATGGCTCCTCCCACATCAGCTGTAGCTGCTGTTGAAGAAGACAGGTCACCTGAACTGCAGTCACAGGTGAGTCGACAGGAAGTTGTTTCTAATTTCAGTTCCTCACAGATTTAGAAGAACCGTGGAGACGGACCTCAACGCCAGGAGCTCCAGAGTCCTTCAGAGACGGACCCGTGAGACGGACCCACGGAACCGACGGACTTCCCTGAAAATCCACTCAGTCTGTGAGGGTTTCAGGAACTTCCTGTCCCACAGAGACGATCAGAGAGGATTCACCACAGGGGGGTTCTGAGATAACGGGTCATTTCTGTGAGGCCGCCATCTTTGTTTGGGTCTGTGGACCAACAGAATCTCCGCTCAGGACCTTCAGCTCGGTTCTGCGGTCCAAGAGGTCCTGTAGAAGCTCGTCGTTTCCTTCGGTCTGTGAACAGAATCACCTGATCGACTCTCTGATCAGATTGAGTGACAACCAATCAGTGAAGACCTGATCAATAATCAGAACCAATCACATCATCAGAATCTATCAGATCAGTTAACAGCTGAGTGCACACACACACACACACACACACACACACACACACAGCTCTACTGTCCAGCTGGTTGCTAAGCAACAGCAGCTCCCAATGACTGTATTTATCGTTGATATTGATCATCCTGTTTGTTAGTGAATGATCATCTAACATAGATCTATATGTAGATCTATATCTAAATATCTATATCTGTAGATAAAGATCTATGACGTGATAGAAGCTCAGAGAGACTCTGGAGGTCAAAGGTCACCGGCAGGTGTGTCTTTGTTTACAGGAGCAACAGGACACCAGTGAAGCTCCGCCCCCTCCTTCTGTTGACATCATGGAGGTCAGAGGTGAAGAGGAGGTGGAGGAGGAGGTCGTCTTTCCTGGGACGGACTTCCTGTCCGTCACTGATGTCATACAGGTAAACCTCACCTCCATCAGAACTCTTCTCCTCAACACCTCCTTCTGTATCCTCCTCTGGTTCCTTTACTCCTCCTCTCCCCCCCCTCCTTTCTCCTCCTCTCCTCCTCTCCCCTCCTCCTCCTGTCCTCTCCTCTCCCCTCCTCCCCTCCTTCCTCCTCCTTTCTTTCTCTCCTCTCCTCTCTCCTCTCCCCTCCTCCTTTCTTCCTCTTCCTCCCTTCCTCTCCTCTCCTCTCCTCTCCCCTTCTCCTCTCCTCTCCTCTCTCCTCCCCTCCTCTCCTCTCCTCTCCGCTCTCCTCTCCCCTCCTCCTCTCCTCTTCCCCTCCTCCTCCTGTCCTCTCCTCTCCCCTCCTCCTCTCCTCTCCTCTCCTCTCCTCCTCTCTCCTCCTCTCCTCTCCTCTCCTCTCCTCTTCCCCTCCTCCTGTCCTCTCCTTCTCCTCTCTCCTCTCCTCTCCTCTCCTCCTCTCCTCTCCTCTCCTCTCCTCTCCTCTCCTCTTCCCCTCCTCTCCTCTCCTCTCCTCTCCTCTTCTCTCTCCTCTCCTCTTCTCCTCTCTCCTCTCCTCTTCCCCTCCTCCTCCTGTCCTCTCCTTCTCCTCTCTCCTCTCCCCTCCTCTCCTCTCCTTCTCCTCTCTCCTCTCCTCTCTCCTCTCCTCCTCTCTCCTCCTCTCCTCTCCTCTCCTCTCCTCTCCTCTCCTCTCCCCTCCTCCTCTTCTCCTCTCTCCTCTCCTCTCCTCTACTCTCCTCTCCTCTCCTCTCCTCTCCTTCTCCTCTCTCCTCTCCTCTCTCCTCTCCTCCTCTCTCCTCTTCCCCTCCTCCTCCTGTCCTCTCCTCTCTCCTCTCCTCTCTCCTCTCCTCTCCCCTCCTCCTCTCCTCTTCTCTCTCCTCTCCTCTCCTCTCCTCTCCTCTCCTCTCTCCTCTCCTCTCCTCTCCTCTCCTCCTCTTCTCAGTGTTCAGCTGCAGTCTCACAGCCCCCCCTGCTGGTCACAGCTGCTCATTACAGTTTTATAAATTGAAGTTTTTTTCTTCTTGTCCTCCTCAGGAACAGGAGGAGCAGCAGGAGGAGGAGCAGCAGGAGGAGGTGAGGGCTGGGGTGGAGGTGGAGTTAGATGGAGGTCCGTCTCCCCCTCCAGTCCTCTATCAGGGCCCGGTCTTCCCTCCCCAGGTCCCTCCTACCCTCCCCCTCCAGGATCAGGCCCCCCTTCACCAACCGGACCTGCAGAGAGACCTGCTGGAGACCCGGCTGGTGGAGTGGTGAGGATCAGGACTGGACTAGACCGGACTTTACTGGACTGGACCGGACTGAATCATTATGACAGCTTCTGATTTGTCAGCCCTGACTCTTTGGACCAGAACCGCGGGTCCAAACGGACTCGGAGGTTCCTCCCAGAACCGCTCTGACCTGATGTCTGTGTCTGTGTCAGGGTGGAGCAGCAGCTGATGTCCAGGATCATCTCACAGATGTACCGCCCCCCTCTCCATGACCCCGCCCAGAATGGCTCCCCTGACCAATCAGAGCACGAGGATCAGAGTGTGACCTCTGACATCAGTGAGTCTTTATTTAGGAGAGGAGGAGAGAGGAGGAGAGAAGGAGAGAGGGGGAAGGGGAGAGGAGGAGGAGAGAGGAGGAGGAGAGAGGGAAGGAGAGGAGGAGGAGAGGAGAGGGGAGGAGGAGAGAGGGGAGGAGAGGAGAGGAGGAGAGAGGGGAGGAGAGAGGAGGAGAGGAGTAGAGAGGAGGAGGAGAAGGAGAGGAGAAGGAAGGAGGGGAGGAGGAGGAGGAGAGAGGAGAGAGGAGAGGAGAGAGGAGGAGAGAGGAGAGGAGGAGGAGGAGGAGAGGGGAGGAGAGGAGAGGAGGAGAGAGGGGAGGAGAGAGGAGGAGAGGAGTAGAGAGGAGGAGGAGAAGGAGAGGAGAAGGAAGGAGGGGAGGAGGAGAGAGGAGAGGAGAGAGGAGGAGAGAGGAGAGGAGGAGGAGAGGAGGAGGAAAGAGGGGAGGAGAGGAGGAGGAGGAGAGAGGGGAGGAGAGGAGGAGGAGGAGAGAGGGGAGGAGAGAGGAGGAGGAGAAGGAGAAGGTCTGAGAGTGAAGGAGAGGAACAGAGGAGGAGAAAGAAACAGGAAATTTCAAAACCAGGAGGAGGAGTGTTTATATTCATGAGAGAAGATTCTTCTCACTGCTCAGTGTGTGTGTGTGTGTGTGTGTGTGTGTGTGTGTGTGTGTGTGTGTGTGTGTTCATATGTGTGTGTGTGTGTGTGTGTGTGTGTGTGTGTGTTTGTTCATGTGTGTGTGTTCATGTGTGTGTGTGTGTGTGTGTGTGTGTGTTCATATGTGTGTGTGTGTGTGTGTGTGTGTGTTTGTTCATGTGTGTGTGTTCATGTGTGTGTGTGTTTGTTCATGTGTGTGTGTTCATATGTGTGTGTGTGTGTGTGTGTGTTCAGTAGAGGCAGCAGGTGGTTCTGGTCTGCAGTTCTTCGTGGACTCAGATGTGTTGGTGGACTCGGCTCTGATCCGTCAGCTGGTCTCGGAGGTTCTGAGTGAACAGATCACACTGATCCTGGGACGAACAGACACACAGGGACCAGAACCAGAACCGGAACCTCCAGGTCCAGAAGCCCATCAGGAGGTAGTTTCACTTTCAGATCACAACGACAACAACGACAACAATAATAATAATAATAATAACAATAATAATAATAATGATAAAAATAGTAATAATAATAATAATAATAATAATAATAATAATAATAATAATAGTAATAATAATAATAACAATAATAATAATAATAATAATAAAAATAGTAATAATAATAATAATAATAATAATAATATTAATAATAATAATAATAATAATATTAATAATAATAATGATAGTAATAATATTGTATTAATTATTATTACTTTAATCATCATCATCAAACCTCCTATAGAGCAGGAAATAGTCGTAAAGGGTTAGAGACATACTCCGACCTTTAGTGACCCCAACATCAGTGTCATCATCATCATCAG